AGAAAGGAGGTCGAGCGGCTAGCAGGGATGGTCTACCTAGAGGGGAGGCCCAAGTTCCCTCTGTCCATGGTTCACCTCGGGGTCAGCGTGGAGGATCGAGCAGCTGGGGCGGGTGCTGGGCCGAGAATCTCGAGCGTCGCGCGGGATCTACACGTGAAGGGTGAGGGTGAGGGTGAGGAGTGAGTTAGAGATTAGGGTACAGGAGAGGGAGGGAGGCTGGATGATGGAAGGGAGAGGGAGGGAGGAGAGGCTGGAAGAAGGGAGGGAGGGGAGCGAAGGGAGGGGAGGGAGGAGAGGCTGGAGGAAGGGAGGAAGGGGGGCAAGAGGTAAGGAGAGAAAGAGATGAAGAGGACTAGGGCGTGGTTAAGGAGAGGACGAGGTCGAGGAGAGGGAGGGGAGGAAGGAGTGAAGATGGTTTTCCTGGTGTCTTTCCCTCACTGCTGAGCAGGAGACTTGAGGGTCGGCGATGAGATCCTCAGGATCGACGGGCGAGACGTTCAGTCGCTCCCCTCCCAACACATCGCGCGCCTCCTCTTGGATGCTCCCGGGACTCGCACGACGTTAACCTTGCGAGCAGGAGCAGCCAGCAGCGCAAAGCCACACACGGCAAGGATGCTTCCTCTGCTCCCTCCCTCCCTCCCTCCCTCCCTCCTCCTCCTGTCCAACGTCACCCCCGATCTCTCCTACTCCTCCTCATAGCTACTCTCAGCACCTACTTCTCCTACACGATGTTGGCATGAAGACTGTCTGCGGCAGGTGGTGGTGAGCAGGGCGCAGAGGAAGACGGAGGCAGCGAGCTGGAAGTTGGAGGAAGAAGAGGGCAGGAGGGCGCTGGAGCAGTACAGGGCGATGACGGACTTGGCAATGGCGCATGCCGCAGCGGTAGGCTAACCACCTGCTCCTCTCCTCCTCCTCTTTCGCTGTCACCGCTGACGACTCGGCGATGTCAGGAAGGGAAACTGGTCGGGCTTGACCTTCAGGTTGGACTCTTGCGGGAGCTGGTGGAGAAGGAGGCGGTGGCAGCCAGAGAGCGGGAGCGGGAGAGCCGCCGGCTCCAGCAGATGCTCGAGCAGCTCGACCCGGTGAAGGCAGAAGAAGCTCTGGAGCAGCGGGAGAGAAGGAGGAGGTGAAGTATATAAATGATCCATGTCCTGAAACTCCGCAGGCCTCCATCCCCACCCCCTTTGCAACTTCGTCCTTTTCTTCCTTCCTCCCCCTCCACCCCCCTTGCTCTTCCCTCTCCTCTCCTCCCTCTCTCCTCCCCTTCATCCAAATGCTCATCTAATTCTCTTCCTCCATCTCTCCTCGCCATTCCCCACACCATCTATACCCATTCTAACAAGCAGGTTTGAAAATTTCAAAATTCGAAATTTCTCATTTGGCGGGAACTCGACCCCCTCAGATCTTGGGGAAAGAGTCGGGGTGGTAGACTTGTAGACTGTTGACGACAAGGTAGACGATCCATATGGTGATGAAGAGGACTGCTGACAGGACGCTGGCCCACTTGGGCCCGCCGAGCTCGAAGCCGAAGTAGGCGCGGCGGACGAAGAGGATGGCAAAGGAGATGACGGTTAGACCTACGAAGAGGATGGTGTTGAACCCCAGGCTCCCTCCGATCACGACGAACCCTCCCTTCCCGTTGTTCTCTGGTAGGAAGGGAGCATCGTGATTCTCCGTGAGTGCATAGTAGGCAGGCGGTCGCATGCCATCTTTCCCCTGGTACTTTTCCAGCCACCTGCGAGCAATCGTTCAGGGCGACAGGCAGCAGCACCAGCAGCAAGGCTTCACTTGTCCGTGGGGCCAACGCTAGACCAGTAGATGGCAGCGATGAGCCAAGGAAGCCCCAGGCCAAGGTAGACGTTGACCGAGTTGCTTCCTGTGATGTTGCCTATGGCGTTGTCGGCATTGTTGTCCGACGAGATCGCCAGCATGGAGGCGAAGGTGTCGGGCAGCGACGTGCCGAGGGCGACGATGGTGATGGCAGTGACGGCATCCTCCAGCCCGACGACACAGCCGAACAAGGAGGCGAGGTCGGAGATGAGCGTCGTGACAAGTCCGATCATGACAAGGGCAACTATAAAAGTTGCCCAGCCGTTCCAGTACTGAGGAGGAGGAATAAAAGCAGCAAAGAACTTCCAGATGAAGGTGATGTAGTGGACCGTCAGCTCGGTGTTAGTCGTATCCTCGAGGTTTTCTCCCCCGTTGACCGTCAGCGCCTGCCGAAACTGCATGGACCATGTCAACTCCTCGATCGACATGTCTGCTGGGGAGATGCGAATCTCGATCCTGCTCTTCTGCCCCACAGAGGCGCCACTATCCTTGTCCTCCAACTTCATCTCTGCATAGAAGCAAAGCTGGAGGAACATCATGGTGAGCTACCTCACGAGAGATCGAAAGTTTTCAGGTCTTACGTCTCCTTCGTGATCCACGAAGTTCTCCAGATGATGCTTGTTGATGCGGATCTGGGCAGCAGGAAGGAGTCAGAGCCATGCTGAGGGGGGCAGGGACGAATGACCTGCACGTGCTTGAGAATCTCGTTGTCACTCCAATCCAGGACCGCATCGATGGCATCGTAGTGGAACCCAGCCTGAGGAAAGCACAGGATCAGCAAGACTGAGGGGGCAGCAGCAGCTGCTGAAGGTCAAGTCGGGACCTTGGCAGTGTCGTCCACCGTCCTGACCCGCAACCGAGCGTCTCCTCGGCTCCCCTTGAGCCGCTGAACGAATAGGGTCACCTCCGCATCCTCCGTCGTGCAGGACTTGGGGTCCTCGTCAGACCACTCGAAGACCCCGGGCCCGTCCATGTCGATGATGGTTACCTTGGTGCTGTCCCGCAGCCCCAGCCTGGACTGCTGATCATCTACCGTCAGATTGACCAAGAAGTTGAGGTCCTCGTTCCACTCGTCATCATGGATGATCGTCAGTGGGATCGTCTTCTCTACTTCCCCCTCCGCAAAGGAGACAGTCCCCTTTGTGCTCTGGTACGACTTGCCCGCCTTGGCCGTCCCGTCAACCGTCTCATAACTGACTGTCGTGGCACAGTCCACGTTGCCATATCGCACGATGGGCACGAAGACTTCCCCTGCCGTCTCGAGGAAGGAGTATTCCTCCGCGGGGAACTGGAAGTAGGACAGGTCCTGCGAGATCATGCTGGACCTTCTCCTCAGGAACTCGTTTTCAACCTGCTTCGGCTTCGCTGCCGACAGCGCCCCAAGGGCCTGATGCCTGTACTTGGCTCGAGCGTTGATCTGCTCCATGTTCGCATCTGGAGCCACAGTATCCTTGGTCCCATCGGACGGAGCGACCTTGGCGCTGAAGCTGAAGTATCCTCGATCAGCCAAGTATACCAGGAGGGTAAGCACGGGGAACATCCCGAAGGTAACAGCCGCCTCCTCCACAGTCACCACGTTGGGAGTCCAGACGGAGACAGATATGTACATCCACAGGTAAGCCAGGACGGAGGACATACTTGTGAGAAGAAACACAGTCATGTTGTCGACCTTGCGCCCGACTCCGGCAGGCAGTGCCAGCATGCAGACTGCGGTGATGATGTTGAGGTTGTAGGAGGCCGACCCCACCACCGTGCCCGGGCCGAGGTCACCCGAGAAGAAACCCGAGAAGCAGATCTCTATCACGGCCAGCAGGATCTCAGGGGTCGACGACCCGAGGGCCATGAGCGTCAAGTTGGCAACCGCTGGGTTCCAGATTAGGTTCTCTACCTCTTCGTAAACCGGATTGCCACCATCGTCCGTGACAGTCTGCCCGTTGTCGTCCTTCCTCAACACCCTCTTCTTGTACGTTGTGTTGGTTATTCTTTCAATCCCCGCCATGAAGGCATCGCTGAGGATCGACACCCCTGCGAAGCACCACAAGAGTCCCAGCAGGTACAGGAACGCCCGGAAGCCACGCGACCACGTGTACTCGTACGGTATGAACGGGAGAAAGTGAGTTCCTTCTCCACCCGCACAGCAGCTCATCTTGGCCTTCTCGCCTTCGCAGAAACCATCTCCAGCCCCTACGATCTGTGCTCCACAAGAGAGAAGGAGAAATTGAAGCAAACGCCGTCGACATGATGGAGACATTGGCATGTGCCGTGCAGATTGCGTGTCAGGGTGCGAATCACACCTTCTACATGAGCTCCATTCCAGAATCTTCAACCATACAGACACCCCTTTTTGAAAACGACAGTCAGAATCTAATGTTGCAGTGGAAAATCATCGTTCTCATCATGAAAATAAATCTTGAAACCGCAAAAATTCCCTTGACAACTGTAGACATGGAAACTACCTACCACTGACCCAGCCTTTTGTGACCAATCTTCTGTTCCCTGTATCCTTCTCCTGCTATGCACGTGTACCTCCTACCGTACTCAATCCTGCCTCCCAATCTAGAATCAACAAATGGGGTCAACGACAGTGCCAATGCGTGAGGTACTTTTGCGACATTCTTCCCCAGCGCCTCTGATAAGACGCTGGAGCTCGTCCCTTTCCATCAGATCGTCATCTCCTCTCCATCTCTGACCTCTCCTCTCCCGTGCTGTCCTCTACCTCAGCCCTGGCTAACGGCGCTCTACCTTTCCCCAGTATGGTCGTTGAACATTCCCCGACATCAATCAACAGCTCCCACTGCGTTAGAAGCGCTACCCCACCCTCAGTTCGGCCTCAACCTCCCCACCCCACCTCGCCCCAGCAAAGTTTCTACCTCTCCACCCCGTCGTTACTTCCACCACCCCCGTCACGTCCCGTTTACTCTACGGTACATTATTACTACAGACAACCCTCACAATGGTGATGACTATAACACCCACCCTACAAACCTGAGACCGTCACGGTGCTCAGATAAGGGCCCTAAGTTGCTTCAAGTTGCTGCAATTGTACTACCCCCTTTCCTAGCCAAAATTTGGCTAACATGGGGTGGGTGATTGAGCGACTCTGAAGAGCTTGTGTCAGGGAGGGGTGGTCCTTGAAGGATTGAAACGCACGAGGGGGTGGTACAATGAGCAGGTGATCACTTGAAAGTTTTACTTAACTTGGAAAATGGACCAGACGGCCCCGGCGCCTGAGAATATAAGTTCACAGAGTCAGTGAACTGGACTCGGAGTCCGGCAGTCGTCCGGGCCGCCCGGGGGCTACTGCACAACTGCAGGCTGTGGCCCGGCAAACCTTATGAAATTGAGATTCGCATGCTAGGACCAAATGCCGTACATCCTTTTGTATCTCCCTTGAGATCAGCAGGTCTTACAAGGCTATGACCTGAACTATGACCTTGGTCGTAGGAGCTGACTCCAGTTCCCTGCATGGCTGCAACTGCTATCGCAAGTGGGGTAGGTTGTCCAGTTGTAATTTGCACAGAAGGTGGGGTACTCTGGGATAATCGTATGGTGGGGGTTATCACCCCCACCATATACAATTCCATCTGTGCCCCTGCTACTACCCTACCTCTTCGTATCATTCGAAGCAGGCCTAGGCTCAAGGCGAAGACAACAAATAAAGGACCCCAGCCCCCTTCTCGAAGACTACCCTGACGACCCACCCTACCCCTACACCTCTATCCTGCTCCGAAGAGAACAGCCTCCACCGGCCACAGAACAGCCGTTGAACTTCTATGGGGGTGGGAGGCTTTTTTACCGGGGTGGGGGTGGAGACAGCCAGGAATTCCCTAAGAGTTGTTATGGCAGGAGGCAGGGTAGGGTGATGATGAAAAGCGGGTGGGGGTCTATCTCTTCATGATGTTGAGGGGGTAGGGTACGTGTCGTGCTGACAGCAGGCTGGTTGAGACCATTACACTACGGGTGGGTGGTTTTGTGGTAGTTGGGTAGGGTAATGGGGCGGTACTAGATGTCTAGCAATACCTTGAGGATGTGGGTAGGGGTGGGTTGATCACGAACGATTGAAAGTAGTCGATAGCTGGGGTGATTTTGGGGATATGACGGGGTAGGGTCATATATGTATGGAGACATGGGGGGTGGTGTCAGGGGTTGAGATTGAAGGTAAACGAGCACAAAATCGGGAGACTGCCAGGGAAACGACGAACAGCAAGAGACAGCGGAAGGAGAGAAGAGAGGAGGAGGAGAAAGAGGGAAAGAGATAAGAACAAGTCAAGGAGCAGACGTATTAGAGGAAACTCGCCATCTGCGAACTGATAGCACGGGATTTGAACCGAGTTGTACAGAAAGGCGTGCAAACTCTGTTTGCTGGTTGAATGATATCAACCAGGACCCGAAGCAGTAGTGAGAGAAATCTTTTTCGACATCATATTTCAAGGAGCTATTGTTGACCGAGAAGATGCTGAGAAAGGGAACATGTCTAGTTTGGGCACTGCAGTCTTGTTCGATAATGTTGTCGACAGCTGCCTTCGTCAATGGCCCGATCAGCTCTATTGAATTGCGCAGAACAGGATCATCAGACAGGCTTATGCACCTGCTGCACAACTTTGAGAGCTCAAGCTGCAGTTGCCACAAGCGCGAGAGGCCATGTTGCAGCTGCCGTTCAAGAAGGACAACCCCGCACATGGTCAATGTTGCGCCTTCCACATCGGCGGTCGCTTCAGGAACGTCTCCCAGCAAGAAATCTGTGGGCACAGACCCGTCAAAGCTCTACCTGGAACCGAACACGATGTTTCCTGCACCGGAAGGTCCCTCCACGCTGGATTGGAACGAGACGAGCCACAGTGGAGGCGACGCACTGCTTGAGCTCTACCACGGCTCGAGTCGAGTTGTCATTGTAGAGTACTGGTACAAGAAGTGCGCCATGTGCAAGGTGATGCAGCCTCTGGTGCAGCGAGTTGTGAGAGAGTTCACGGGGAAGATTCACTTCGTCGAGGTTGAGGTGTTTGAGAGCAAGAAGGTCGTGCAGCATGCCGGCCTGCGCAGCGTCCCGGCGTTCCAGGTCTTCTACGACGGCAAGATGATCGACCATTTCTCTGGGTTGCACACGGTGAAGGCGATGCGAGCCATCTTCTCCAACGCGCTGGAGATGACGGCAGAGAGGCTTGACAACTTCTCCCACGCGGAGGTTCGGTCATGACAGGGGACAAAGCTCGAGGAGCCTCGTTGCACTGATTGTTTTACTAAGAAAGGTTTAGCATCATTTGATTGAATTATGTACATCTTCAAATGTCAAGTTGTCAAGTGAAGACGAGTGGCCCCTGGGTTCCTCGTCTCTCAACTTGTTAACGAATGTTCTTGCAGGAACTGCTGAGCGGGCAAGATCACCCGCAGCCATCGCATCCTGCTCCGCGCCATGTGGCCACGAAAGGCTCGTTGGATCCGGACAGACGCAAGCTGTCGCCACATCGCCCGCACCTTCTCTCGCACGCTGTGCCCTCGCCACTGTCGCTGAATCCTCAGCGCTCCTCGATCCTCCCTTGTGTGAGAGTCTTGAGGGAAAGCAAGCAGCAGATTTTCGTCTTCTTGTCGCTTTGCCTGCCATCTCCTCCAGTGCTGTTGGATTGCTACAGCGCTCATACTTAGCTCCATGCGCTGCTTCACCACCTCCTGGATCTCCGCCACCTTCATCCTCAGCAGCAGATCCTTGCGGGCTAAGAAGCCCCTCATAGCAACCTGCAGCTTCACGCAGGACGTCACCCTCTGCTGCATCCAATCGCTTGCCAGCAGCGACTTCAGCTTGAGCTCCTGCTCGACTCTCTTCCTAGCGAGGAAGCATATGTGGGCACCTTGGATGCGCCTGGCAGCATGCACTCTTGCCTCCTCGTGCAACTCGTAAAAACGGACGCTCTTGACCAAGATCAGCTTCTTCCTTGACAAGAACACACGAAAGTTGCTTTGTATCAAAGTTGCCTTGCGGCCCAAGAGCTGCGGGACACAACCTTGTTCGTATGCTTGACGAGTACTCCTTGCGACAAGAAAGCGAACGAGCTGCATTCCGATCCGCTCCGATCTTCTCGTTTTCGCTTCGGCGAGGGCACCTCGAGCGGACTTTGCCCTGATCGCTCTTTGAATTGTACCGATCCGGAGCTTCCATTCGCTACCTACACCATCTTGTACAGTGTCATGAGCCTGCTCGCCCCTGTCCGCTCCTTGCCGATGATGGATGGAGTGTAAAGACGAGAATATCTTGAATAAAGCTCTCTCCCTGAATTCAGTCGCGAACTTTCTCTTCGCCTCTGCGTATCGCAGAAAGCCAACAATGATGATCTTGCACTCCATTTGACGTGATATCAGCCTCCTCCTCCTCTCCAACGCATGGAAGACTTTGATCTGCAGAAACACAGCAGCGCTTCTCCTCCCCTGCGACCTCCTTTCCTCTCGTACTGCTTCGAACCGCCCCGCTGCTAGATGCCTTCGATAGGCACACTGGATCAACATGCACTTTTCCCTCCTCGTGCGAGAGAGAGTCATGAGCACAGGCTTCTTCTCCTTCATGGGCTCAACTTCATCCACCTTCCTCATCGGTTGCTGCTCTGGAGGGAACTCGCTTGCCATGTATCCATCGACACTATCCATCAGCCTCATGTCCACAGGAACCAATCGCATGCAGCCCGTGGGCTGGAGGTTGTTCGGTGAGGCATCCAGCTGGCATCCAGCCTGCATCATTATGTCATTGGACAAGATCGTACAGTTGTCGGAGGTGTCGTTGTGAGGGTTGAAATCTTCAGCCACCACATCTTGAAAACTCGGAGAGCCCTGTGGGTCGACCGAGTGCCACGTCATCATCTTCTGGAACTCCTCGAGGACTCGTCTGACGACCTGGGCCATGATTTCTGCCTCCGATCGAAGGCCTCCGGAGTGAGCGAGGGAGCGAAGAGTCGTCTGTCTCCCCAGTCTCTTGTGCAGCATCATGGCAAAGGCAAGCATCATCTCCGTCACGTGCATAGATTTCACTATATCAGAATGAGCATCCGAGACTGAGATCAAATCCGACGAGTCATTGTTGCGGTCTTCGGGCAGCCCTGACAACCTTCGTCTGGCCGCCATGCAGATTAGCTTGCGGATCCCCATCGCAGCTTCGAGAGAGTCCCTGGAGAGGACCGCAGTTCTTCTCGACTCGATGATGAAGCTCCTCCCATCTTCAGTCCGCGACATCTCTGTTTGCTCTCTCAGAATGAGCTCATCCTCTGTCCCGTTGTCCTCGTCAAAGGATCTGTATGTCACTTGCGAGAAATCAGCCGCCAGGGCGAATTTGCCTCCATCAAACACGCCAGGGCTCGCGATGAACAAGTCCGATGTCTGGTGTCTTCCCCTCCTACCATCACCGAAAGAGGCCACGTCAGGTATCGGCAACTTCACGCGGTCCGCCAGTGCTTTCTTGCTCGCGTCCCTCCTTGGTTCCATGTCGATGCTTTCGCATTCAGGGAATCGAAGATATGTCTGCTCGCTTTGTTTACCGCACTTGCCCTGGACAGTCCTGACGGACTGCGCTGATCGCTTGTCCATGCTGTCCTCGCTCGCAAGCTGTGCGAGTGTTCGAACGGCAGTCATGTGATGGGAAGGGCGTGGTTTTGCTCGAGCATGGCTGACGAACGCAGCTTGAGCAGAATGTCTCCTCTCAGTGGCATTGGCCTCGCACTTCAATATCATTCTGCTGAACTGATCGAAATCATCTTCTTGGTAGTCAGTTCCATCGCATTCCAGCATGACAGCCGGATCTGGAAGGCCAAGTTTCCTCCTCACTCGCAACCTTCCCCTTGAGACATCAACAGTCTGTGGATAGACAAGATGTTCGTTGTGAAACAAATCCATTGGAAAATGGTGGTAACAGGAGCTTCAGATGAAGAGAGGGAGGACTCAACGGACAAATCAATCAATGGTGGAAGAGGTATCAGGAGAGGTGGAGAGGTCAAGCAATTACGAAAGATTAGGAGGACCGCGAGGGAACCAAGTATGAATTTAAGTAATGTGTGGAGGAGAAGGAGAAGAAGGAGGAAGTCAGGATGGAGGAAGAGGAGGAGGTCGACGAGGAGGGAACGAAAATCATCCTGCTGCCATTTCAACGCACAAAGTTTGTTTTTGTTTCAACAACTTCAACGGGCCCGCCGGTTTCCCGTCCGACCGGGCGGCTCCAGTAACTGAGAAAACACAGTAGGTGACCGGAACTTAACTTTGAGTAAAAGTTTTAGTCATCAACAAAATGGTACATCTTCAGTACCTGAAGTGGGGTGATAGTCTTTTTAGTATTGATGAGCAAGGGGTAGGGTGGGGTCGATCGCAGCCGTTTGTCAAGCTGCCAATGACTAGGAGTAGGGGTGGTGGTCATATATTGAATCATCTTAGTCGAAGGGAGGGGTCACTAGTGCACCGGATCCAAATTTGACTGAGCCTGGAATGATGGTCCCGTCCACTCAGCGACTCATATGGGCAGGTAGGGTACTTGATCCACCGTATGGCTCGACAGGTGGGCCGGGGGTACGACCGGATTATGATGCAATGAAGGCCTGCTGTAGGAACAGGGGTGGGTGGGGTCTCATTTTCAAGGGGTGGGGTTGTCCTGGCTTGAACGACTCTCATGGGACGGCGAAAAGAGTGAAAGACAAGAAAGGGAGGAGATGTTGAGAAGAACCCCTAGCCGAGCGAGTCACCGATACCGACTTGTTGAGGTGTAGAAGCAGGGAACCTGTTTGTTGTGCTGTATGGTCATCATAGGGGAGGTGAAGGGGAGGGGAGGTAGGAAGGGAGCTAAGAGAGAGCGGGAGGGCAGGCGAGCAGGAGAGGAGGATGTCACACCATTGTCAGCCAAGTGAAAGAGAACACAGACGAGGATCAATAGACGGTTCCTGCAAAGGTTGGATTGGTCATCGACTCTTAACGATGGTGCTTCAGATTTGTCAAGAATGGGTGCACTTCAATCGTGTTGTGCAAGTGAAAATCCCAACGAAATCAAAGGGAACATGCAGATTAAATGTGAGTCTCTTCCATCTCAAAAAAATAGTCCTTGATTCGGAAATCTCACAGCTATACAAGATCCAAACAATGGTCTGCCGGATGACTGGTACAAAGCTTTAGCAACTTTAAAAGCACTAACCAACCTATCACAGGACTGATACGTCCTTCGATCATGTATCTCAATACCTTCATGCCCTGTTTTCGCTCCATTTAGAATGTTCTACAGACTGCAGGAGAGTCTTCCCTGATGGAGGACTCCATCGGTGGCGCAAGAGGGCCTTCATTTCGAACAATGACAAAGCAAGACTATCTTCTATTGTATGGTAATCAAAGCAAGTATTTCTATGTCTGATTGTGCTGATCGAAAACCTCAGATGGGATCCATACACTCCTTAAGGAGCGCAAAATTGGGAAAGAACAAGAAAACGAGCTATACGAACTGATTGGGTAAGTGCGATTCCCGTGTTGTCCAGCCGTCATCTGAGGGTGGAGGAAGTCAATTTCTCATTAGACTGACCCTTGTCTACAGGCAGCAAGATCGACGATTAGCTGCAGCGTATATGAAATTCAAGGAAACGAACAAGGAATTCCTTGAGCACTTGGGCCGAATTCCATCGTTGTGATGTGTTGTCCTCACAGGTTGAGGCTCTCCTGGAGCCGCTCTCTACTAGAAACAAAATATCAAACGGAGGATTTCCCAAGAAGCCTTCAGCTCAAATTTGAATAGGGGCGAAGGAACCATGCGTGATCCTCATAGCCGCGCAAATGCAGCTGAATGGAGATCAAAGCAATTCCTCACTCGTGACTTTCCTTGAATTTCCGCTCACCTTTCTACCTCACCATTCTATTAAAGCTGTTCTTGACAATCATATGTATACATTTGCTCACGGAGACGAGCGGAAAGGAGCATAGTGGTAGTACTTGGGTCTTGTGTCTATCCGAAGGTGCAGCCATGGCACTCCAGACCCTTCGGTGTTCACCCACACAGACGAAGTTGGGCCCAGCATAGAGAAGTTCCCTGCCTGATCAAGGACATTTTCCTGCAAAGTTCGCCCAAGCTCTTGAAAGAGCTTTAATTTGCTTGAATTGTCTACATCCCTAGGAAAAGACAAACATCAATTACAGGAAGGATTCACAGCCGGCCTCACCGAAGGAATGTGGAAATCTGAGCATGGGAGGCATATCTATCCACCTCCTTGCCATCAACTGACCGGTCAGGAGGGACAACAAGAAGCGCATCCCGGCTGAGACTAGGAAACACTCTTGTCTGACCATTTGCACTCCCAAAGCTCGTGCAATCTGCCGGAGATCCCTCCAGAGATGGAGCATCCAAGCACACAAACTGGAACTCGACCGTGCCAGCCGTTTTGCCTGTATTGAGGGAGGTAATCATATCTTTGTTTATTGTTATCGCCACAGATAACTCAATCTCGTTACCTGAAAATGGAACAGTCTCCCAGAAATATGATTTGAAAGGGACCGAGTTCATCACATTGAAAAGTAAAAGCTTGAATTCTTGAGAAGAATTTAGCAGTTCAATACACTTCTTCCAAGAGATCGCATCGCCTGCATGGGTAAACTTCGCCTGTACCACAACAGAAGAAGAGTCCAGAGAGTCAGCAAAGCTTTTACAATCATCCTCCAGCAGTCTCACCAGCACTCCGTTCCCTCCTTGAATCCTGTTGAGCATTGCTGTGAAAGAACCTTGATGGAAAGACATCAATCCTTCGCCATGAGCCTCTTTGACGGGATCAATGCCGCAGGCTCCGTGATGAAAGCATGCGAGAAAGAGGAGCAGGAGAAGTCCTACTATTCCCAGAGGATGTCGCTCAAAGCCCATAGCATAGCAGCCCATAGCATAATTCCGTTACGGATTGTGAAAATTTCGTAACGGAATTATTTTCTTTAACCGTTTCTAACGTATTACTGGACAGGTGTACCGTGGCGGACATGACGGAAGTTCGCATGGCGGGACGAGGAGAGGAGGCGCTGAAGGTGAGAAATGACAGAGAATTGCGCGATGAGAGATGTATTGTGGTGGTGATGATGAGAGATATGGCGAATTAATGTGTTATTCCATGCCCCCTTTCGTAGATTAGGCATTGCTGTTGGGTTCCATTATGAGAGGGAGAGACAGGGATTAGAATTGTGTTGAAACAGTTATGTCACATACCATAAGGAAACCTGATATTTTTTTACCAGATGTTGGACAAGGATCAAAACGATCTATACATCAAGTTTAAAATGCTTCAAAGACAGCTTGAGTTTATTGAAATCCAGGTTACTTTCCAGGAACCATTCAAATTTGGTTGAGTGTCAAACGCAGGAAGAATATGTCAAGGATGAAACCAAAAATCTCAAAAGGGAACTTTTGAGAGCTCAAGAAGAGGTTGGAAAGGATTCGAAGTAGTGATGCCTAATCTTGGAACCAGGTCAAGCGCATTCAATCTGTTCCGCTGGTTATCGGACAGTTTCTGGAGATGATAGATGCCAATCATGGCGTTGTGAGTTCTACTGGAGGAAGCAACTACTATGTCAGGGTATGGTTCTCCATGTTTTGTTATTTCTGGAATGCTCATGGTCTGGTTAGGTGTTGAGCACCATCAACCGTGAGCTGTTGAAGCCGAGCTCCAGCGTTGCTCTTCACAGGCATAGCAATAGCGTCGTCGATACTCTGCCTCCAGAAGCCGACTCCTCTATCCAAATGATGCAGGTTATTGATTTGTTTTTTTGTTCGACCCAGTTTTTTCCACCAACGATGATGCGCACAGGCCGGTGAGAAACCGGATATTACTTACGCGGACATCGGTGGGAGTGACATGCAAAAGCAAGAAATTCGTGAAGCGGTAAGAACGAAGTTGACATCTTGACCTACCATTGGAACTTATTGGTTGTACAGGTTGAGCTTCCGCTTACCCACTTCGAGCTTTACAGACAGGTGTGCGTTGTTAGAGTGACGGATATTCATACAATTCATAGAGTTTGACACACCTGATGATAGATTGGAATTGAACCTCCTAGGGGCGTTTTGTTATATGGGCCACCTGGTACTGGCAAGACAATGATGGCAAGGGCAGTTGCTTCCACATGTATTTACTTCACTCTTGCTTGGAGCTTGTCTAAATATTACTAGGCAATGTCTCGTTTATCCGCATGGTTGGTTCCGAATTTGTACAGAAGTATTTGGGAGAAGGGCCTCGTATGGTGTGGATTTCATTTTGATGTCTCTTGAATCTTAACTTACGTCTTATGATTTACCAAGGTTCGCGATGTGTTCAGGATGGCAAAAGAGAATGCGCCTGCGATCATCTTCATCGACGAGATAGATGCAATTGCGACGAAAAGGTCTGAAAGGCTCGAAGTTGCTAGGGAACGCTAAGACATGACCATGCAGGTTTGACGCCCAGCATGGAGCAGACAGAGAAGTTCAACGTATTCTTCTAGAGCTGTTGAATCAAATGGACGGGTTCGATCAATCTGTCAATGTGAAGGTGCAAAAATCATATTAATTTATTGATTGTCGTTGTTGAAATTGAAAATTCTGAGCAGGTTATTATGGCAACCAATCGTCATGATACCTTGGATCCAGCACTTCTAAGGCCTGGTCGTTTGGACAGTGAGTGCAGTAACAAAAAGGGATGTCGCGACTGAATCTTCTCATCAGGGAAAGTCGAATTCCCTCATCCAGATCGCCGTCAAAAACGTCTAGTGTTTCAAGCCTGCACAGCAAAGATGAATCTGTCGGATGAAGTTGATCTTGAGACCTTTGTTTCAAGGTTACAGGCACATGTTTCAACAGCTTGTGCCTTACTTTTGGAATCAGGCCTGACAAGATTAGCAATGCGGACATTGCTGCGATCTGTCTGGAGGCAGGCATGCAGGCCGTTCGTAAGAACAGGTGATTGTCCTGAGCGATATGGTTTGCCAGTGACTTGTGTGTCAGGTATGTGATTCTCAACAAAGACTTCGAGAAGGCATACAAGATAACAATCAAGAAACAAGATGAGGAGTTCTTGTTCTACAAGTAGACATTGTTGAGGCTATCGGTACATCGATTGCCATCGAGTTGGAGAACAACGAACTTGCCATTCGTGTGTTTTATTTGCCCATCAATGCACGAAACAAAAAATATATCTTCCAAGACGTGCATCGCTCGCATTCGTGCAGCAGAAATCTTAGAGATCCTTGGACTCGCTTACCTCAGAAAGTTTCTTCTGAAGATCAGCCTTCGCATCCTTGCATGGTTTCCCCCCCTTCTCCACCTTGTGCAACTCAACCTCGAACACGAGAGGGTTGTATGGGGGGATCTTTGGAGGAGATCCTCGCTCGCCGTACGCCATGTCGTAGGGGATGAATAGTTCCCACTTGTCTCCTTCACACATGAGCTGCAGCGCCTCCGTCCACCCCTTGATCACTTGGTTGGGAGCGAACGAGGTTGTCCCGCTGTCAAAGGGAGTCCCGTCCTTTAGCTTGCCAGAGTAGGTGACCTTGCAGGAGTCTCCAACGTTGGGGGAGGACTTCTTTCCTTTGCCCGTCCCCTCCTTGATGACTCTGGTCCACATGCGTGAACGGAAAGCAGGGAACGATGGAAGAAGCTTCTTTTACCTGTAAAGCATTCCGCTCGGCAACTTTTTCACGCCTTCCTCCTTGGATTTTTCCTCAAGGAATTTCTTGCCCGTGCGGATGTAGTACTTCTTCATCTTCTCTTCGTTTGAGCTCTTTGCCAGCGCAAATGCTGCGCAGCACACGACGACCGCGATCAAGCAGATCAAGAGGTGCTGCTTCATCTACAAGGAGAAAATTGTCAAACCATCATGAGAGATCTACAGAATGAACTGTCGAGACCTACTGAGTGTTCTCGTGACGTATCACGCTAATCTTCTACACGTCTCTCCATACATTCTTCCTCAAGTGTGACAGTGCGATTTCCTTGGTGACCCATCACCAATCCCATCAGCAATCAGGTCTTTCCTTCTCGCTCCTCCTCCTCCCTCTCCCTCTCCACTTGTCTCCTTGGTTTCCCTCGTCTCTCCTTGCTTTCTCGCTTGCACCTCCCTCTCCCCCATCCTGACCATCAGATCGTACAAAGCATGCCGCCGTAGAGTTCCAGAAGTTTCCTGCCATGGCTCAACCAACATCTCAGGTTCCCGTCACGGCGTCGCACAGGGCACTAGTCGGCGCCGGGCGGCCGCCAGGCGGGCCGCCGGTCGGCTCCGGCGAGCCTCGGAGGGAGACGTCGGAACTTGAATGATACGAACTGATGAACGAGTTTATGGAATTAATTAGTCGCGTTCGCTGGTCCTCAACAACCTGTCCAGCTGGTCTACTTGCACTTGGTACTTCATTTGCTTTCTCTTCGCCTTCGTCCTCGGGTTCACCTGGAAGACATACACTCAGTCATCCAGTGACTGCAAGTCCACCTCACCTTTCTTGGCTTCGCCTTTCTGCGAAGGTTGACCGCGTGACGGATCGTGTTCTTTGACCAACAGAGTGAGCACAAAGAAAAGAAACAAGAGGTCAAAGGCTGACCGTCACGTTGTCCATGACAAAATCTGGCTCGCTCGATTGCAAGTCGTCTTCCAACAGCTGCCCTGTCTCGCTCCAATACAACTGATCCAACTTTGCAACTTGATACTCAAGTGCTGTCTCCGCGAAAGTCTTCTTCTTCTCTGCAGATAAGTTTTCATCTTCGCTCCTCTTCCTCGGCTTTCGCTTGAATATCGTATCCATCAGCCTCTCCCTTCGCCTTCTCTCGGATGCGGTGATCGGAAGGATGGAATTCTGTACTGAAGCCTTCTCCTTCTCTGCCGTCATTAGGCTCCCCACCCCTGCCTGACCATGGAGTTTCTGTAACGTATTGACCATGGTCGACCTGTTTTCAGACCCAAAGTCGGCAGGGCCCAGAAATTGGTCGTCGATGTAGGTGAGCAGGTCTGGTTTCTTCAACGACTTTTTCACTTTGGCGTATTCTTGCAATCCTTCTCTCAAGATTCTTTCATCATCGAGGGGCATAGTGAGATATTTCACGGCCTCGTTGAGCCTCGAAGCACTGTTGCGATGATGCAAGGGCCCAGCGTCATGTAAAGTTCCATCCCGAAGCTGCAGATACTCTCTTTCATGCTTGTACTTCATCTTCTTGAGGATTCTTTGTTGCTCCTCCTTGCGCTTGAGGGTTCTATTGAGAAACTTCTCGTTATAGAAGAGAACTTCCTTGTTCTGATCCTCTGATTCTAAAGACCAAAATACGTCCGGGTACTTGACTTCCCCAAACTGTGTAAGAAACGGACCCTTCTTACGTTTCTCTCTCAGATCCAGCAACTTATCATCTACAACAGCTTCCCAGTTTCGATCCATCTCCTCTAATTCAAGCAAGCACAGGTTCTTGAGCATCATTTCATTCTTCAATATCTCTTTTTGCGCAGAAGGAGTATGTTTGGCAAGAATCCTATCATACTCCTTTTGCAGTGTCGGAACCATTGCATGCCATTTTGCGTTCGTTGTATCCTCGAACAAGTTCTCGTACGAAGATTCTTCCGTCTCACTAGAGTCAGCAAGGGTTTGGACGCCATACACCGGGCTATCTGCACTGCCAAGTCTGTATTGTTCGTACTCAGTTCTGTCGAATGGCCCGTAATTTTGCAATCCCAATGAAGATTCTGAGAGATTCAGCGACGATTCATGCGAATCCTCGTCTGTTTGTCTATGCAGAGGCTGAAATGCCGAATCTGAGGGCACAAGCGCATCGTGGTGAGGGATCTTCTTTCCTGTGTTTGATTCCACGTACGCTGCCAAAGCCTGAGGCATGTGCCGAATGTTTGAAGAAATCTTTCCAGACTCAAGGAAGAACTTGAGATCTCTCACCAAAAAGACAAAATCTTTCCGCACATTGTCAATATCGCTCATGCAATCTTGCAACGAATCCTGTTTGACACCTTTGCTATCTTGATAGCACTTAACGTACAGCGCCCACAACCCATTCATGGACAAGCCGGAGAGAATTCTGGGCCCTGGATTCTTGCTGCATGCCATGCAAGGGAAACTCACTGAGTGCTGCAAGTCGACGATGTGGTAGAAGTCGCAGAACTGCCATTGTCGCAGCAGTTTCAGTGTGAGACTCTTCTTCTTCTTCTTTCGCAGAACGATCGTTAACTTGGTGCCATTTCTTCCATTCAAGAGATTCTGCACCCGGGCAAGATCGGAGGAATCAACCTGATGGTCGTCGATACATTCAATGATGTCTCCAACCTCAATCTTGCTGCAAGAGAACGCAGAACCCTGGTGAACGAGCTCGCTGACAGTTATGGGCCTGACTTTCTTGATCGATGATGAGGACTGTTTCTTTCCAACAGATACATGCCATTTCAGCCCAACATCTCCAGGGACAATCCTCGAATCATGCACATGGTCGAAGTAGAAATCTGGAAGTTCAGTTCCCCAAGGCTCCTCATCGATTTCCGAGGGATTTCGAAGAGACGGACGAGGTTTCGACAGCATGCTTTCGCACAAGAAGAACTTATGAAAGTCCAGCCAAGGATTCTCCTTGACCGTTTCAACTTCATCTCCACGAGCTTTGGAAAACTCGGCAAGGTAACCGGAGTACATCTTGGTGAGGAAATCATATAGGTTGTCCTCTACCACCAGACGATCGAAGTGGCAGCGAGGGTTGTTGCTGCATGCTAGTCTGCTGACCATGTGCCTCTTCTGCCTCTTGATCTCATTGTAGATCTTGGCGATAGAGAGCATTGGCTCGTTGGAGAAATGAGTTCTTGAGCTGCAAACCCTCCCTTCCACCACCTGGGGGTCCAAACTCCCGCTCTGATGAGGAGCCCCTGCAAGCTCCAACAAGCTGACAGACAGAATGGCGAGGAGGAACTTTCCTTCCCATCTTCGACCCCTCCACCTTTGCCTCATCTCTATACAACGCACCCCCGACATCCGCCCCTACACCATGGTCAGGACGCGGCTGCCTTTGCCTTGGAACCAAACACAAGGCTATTAGATGAAGCTGCCCTGTAACTGCCCTGTAATATTAACTAAAGTTCTTCCTCGAGGGCAGTGAAACAGTGACTGGCCCAATTGTACGCCGATGCTGAGGCCCCTTCCTTCAGCTTAGTTCGTATGTATCTGCGGCACTAGCTAGCTAGTTGTAGTACGGCGGTAGAGGCCCTGCCGCAGTGCGTGACCCGTCACAGCCGCTGAGCCCGGCTGGTCACGGCGCTGCCACTCTCAGGCTGGCTAACTTTTAAAAAAAGGTCAAAAAAGACAGAACTGTTTTCAGTCAATAAAGTATCAATCAGGATGCTCAACACCGCAAGGAGGAGAGATGGTCGCGATGCCGCGTGAGTTGCTCGAATCTCGGTGCTTGAGGTCGCTGATATCATAGTACGCCGTCAGGTGGATGAACTTTGATGGCTCAGACGCGAGGAGTGTTGGAGTCAGCTGGAGGGCCGACGCTGTGGCACGAACGGTAATGTTGGTTTTGCCCTCATCTCAGCGCCACCATGACGGCAAGTTGCCAGCGAGATGATGCTGAACCTGTTGATCTGTCGCTCAGAAGTTTGGTGAAGTTCCATTCAGAATGCATGCACTCCGACAATCAGGCAAAGTTTGCCGCGCGGCAGAGAGGAACCGAAGTACACAGCACCACGCCGTTCAGTTCGATGGCGACAACAAACCCCCACTTCAAGGCGATCGTGAATGCGATTCAGCAGAACGACATGATCCTTTTGAAGAGGTAGACTCGAGCATTCACTTTGGGAGGCAGAGTCAACTGAGATGGTTGAAAGGTTGATGCGATTGGAAACTGGTGCTCAGAGCAATTTTTATCGCCGCCACGTGAATGTACGTTGATACTCTCGTGGAGAGTGGCAGACCTTGACAGCATCGTTTTCTTACAACCCACCATTTTCGTCAACTTCTGCACCTCCTCCACACGATCCAGGTCGATGTGCATGATGACCTCGGGAGGACTCCCTTGCATTTCGCCTGCGCCCTTGGAAATCAAAACGCGGTGAGTACGGACTTTTCCGGTCGCATTCATACTTGTGACAACTTGTATGTGCGCTAAGGTCGATATTCTACTTGATGCAAACGCAAACCTGTCTTCTATCTCAGCTGAAGGGAAGACCCCACTAATCCATGCCGTTGAGCGAGGACACACAGGACTAGCCTCGGAGCTGCTCATCAGGCTAGCCCTTGGTAGGATGGGCCCTGAGTCGCAAGCGGTTCATGGGGGGAGATACATAGAACACGACGATCTTTCTGCTATGATGTCTGCGTCGCAATACAGAGGTCCCCACGTGATAGACTCATTTGGAGATGACGGAGGGTTTGGACTCACATACCCTCACCGCGGGTCCCTCCCTCGAAAATCGATTCAGCGTGCAGCTTTCGGTCCCAGTGAGCTTCCTCAGTCCCTCTACCCGATGTGGATGCCAGGAAACAAAGGAGTGCTGGGGGCCGGGGAGGAAATGAGAATGCCGAGCAGAATCTCGTGGTCGAAATCAACCAACGAGTTACTCGGGGAGGCAAGACCTCACCTGGCTCCCAGCGTGCGGACTAGAGCAGAACCCGAGACATCAGGTGTGTTCGATGGGCTCAGGGGACAGTACCATACAGGTAGGGTAGTGGCGGGTCTGAAATGTTTCTCACGTGCCCCAAGGTCCAATGAACATCCGTCCAGAGTCGAGCTCGCAAGATCGGCAGATGAGAGAAGCAGCCAATCAATCCAACGTGAATCGTAGGCCGGAAGAAGATGCTCCTTCCATGCTGAGGCGGCAAGACGAAGCTCCAGCCCCCATTAGTCAAGCGTTCAGTGAAAAGGCGATGCTGGAAGAGATCCTTCTTGAAGTTGAGACAAACAACAGGCTGCAGGCGAACGAGGCTGTTCCAGGTAGATGAGAGGGGCCAACCAACAAGAGCTGACGGTCGTTATGCTAGACGTTGTTGGGTCACATAAGACCTTGGGATCGCAAAAGAATGCGCAAGAAAGAGGTGAAGAGAAGAATCTACTGCCCAGAGGATTTTCCATTGTACTGAGTTCTTGTTGTGCAGCAAAAAGTAGACGGGAGTGGTCGGCTGGTGATCAGCATTGGAGCTCTATGTTCTGGTGATTGCACAGGTGGTCCTACTCGTTGGAAAACTTCACTCAATGAAAAGAACAAAAACGAAGCAAAAGTCGCATGATGATGATGGAGGTACTAGATTTCGATTCTTCATGGGCCAAAAGTGTTCTCAATGTTTCAAGATTATCGTCACGATGATCATTATGGGCTATGGAAGAAGTCATCGAGACATTCGAAGCAAGAAGATGTCTAAGCATCTTCTTCTTCTTCGTCGTCCTCGTCTTCGCCCTGTTGAACCCAGTCGATGAATTTCCATCCTGCCTTTCTGCAGTCGATCGCATCATCGAGCTGAAAGTCTGGATAATGCTGCTTGAGTCCATCTTCTTTGCGGTACCACGTGTCCATCCGATCCTCGGAGATGATCTGCATGATGTCATTGAGATGAACAACAAGGCTCGCGATACTCACGTCGTGTTCCCATAGTTTTCTAAGGATGTCGTCGTACTTCTTGATTCCCCTCCGCTTCTCCTTGACAATCATCAGCTCCATTGCGAAGAGAAATGCCATTTGCTGCTCTTCAGTCTTGCAGCTTGCTTTCAACAACTCCTTCCTTTTCACAATCTGCAAAGTTCCAATCATCAACCAACAGGCACAGTGAGGTTCCTCGTACCTCATCGGTCAACTTGGGCGCATTCAGAAGGCTGTCGTGCAGCGAAAAGATCAGAGATGTAAATTCATGAAAGACACATGCAAGGTGATACAAGTCACGGATATGAAGGCCAGGGACAACCAATGCACGCTGCCCTGCAGGGCTCTCACCTGGCAGTGATCAGGAAGTGGGCCTTGGCGAAGTCCTCATCAAAGCACATGCCGCCATACACGATCGCATCTTTACCCCCAAGGCCTTGAAGCAGCTCCGCCACTTCCTCGTCGGTCTTGCCCCCCTCGAGAGCCTCCCGCAGCTCGGCGATCCTCTCGTCCTGGTCCGCCATTACGACTCCTTTTACAAGTATTTTATATTTCAGATCCGCCTCTGTACTGAAACACATGGACTAGAAGGGCATCAGAGATGATTAAAATCTCAATTATGGATTTCTAGGATATCCCGGGCACTTCTTCCATTGTCCTGAGGGGGGCCTGTCAATGGGGAATGGCTCAGCGGCGCCGAACCAAGGAACATGCAAGCCGGCGAGGGGGAGGAGAGTGGATACCGAGGAGGTGACGATGCCTCGGAATGAAGCAGCAGCCATGGTTCATGTCCTCCTGGGAAACTGCTCCTTGATCGTGAGCTCCCGCGAGTCGAGATTGTGATGAACGTGCGGAGATGAGCGAGCAGGGCCTGGGGAGTGCGAGGGAGAGGAGGAGCCTTTCCAGGCAGTCTCAAGGCAGCTCGAAGGGCGGAAACGATTCGAAGACTGTACGCAGTTTTGTGGACCACGACCTTCTCACAGAGAACAAGCACCATCTGCGCAAGGGAGTCAACTGGAAGTTCGACGGAGGTAGCTCGCGTTTCGCATACCAGGTGGAAGCTCACATGTTGAGCAGCCGGAGCCCCTCATCCCTTCTTCCCCAAAGAGAGACCGAAGAAGATCGTGACCGGCGTCACCTCCACGTATCCTCTGCACCTCTCATGATGGACGGTCAAGAGATGTTGACACTGCTCAGGTGCCGTTGCGGTGCTACGACTGGCTATGGCCCGGACCCAGCCGTTTCCTCAGATCTTGCCATTCGAAAGTGTTTCAACTGTCGAGTTCTGAGTGTATGACAGTGATGCCGTCCTCTTGTCTCCCTTTGACCTCTCCCTGCGGCAGGTCGCTGCATTGGATCCAAGGGGAGCACAGAACAAGGAATCACAAAGGTGCTGCACTGCTCTTGTCTGTCCATGATGTGTGCGGGCGGGCAGTGTACTGGAAGCATCTCTTGACGCGAGTGAATCGCTAGGGACGCCATTGCCAAGATCCACCTGGAAGATATTCGCAAGAGGAAGAAGGGAGGGTGTTCTTGCGATGGATCTATCGGGCGGCTATGGAACTACAAGACGTGCGTGAAGGCCCTTGTAGTCGCTCCTCCTGCCTGACTCTCCCTCAGTTCGAGGCCGTACGGTTGGATTCAAGGGCACGTTGGAGAGAGTCGAAGTCGCAGCAGTGACTGGGAGGGCGGAGTAGATCGACAAGAGGCCAAGTACAGATTATGCACCTAGTGCAAGATCAGTCTGACCGCTTTGCCAGGATCAGAAAAGAGAAGGCGTTGACCTGGTGGGAAAGAAGTGTTCTAAGAGAGAAGATTACACCCAAGGATCAGGAGGGACTGTATGGTGGAGAACGTTACTATCCTTGTAGGTACGTACAGATGTTGGGACAGGTTGAATTTAAGACCGCTGAAAATTACTGTCAGATCCTTTGTCTACTCTCCAACACGAGTTTTGAAATCTAATACTCCAGACCTTACCAATGCTGACCTGCCAGATGCCCGACTTGAGCTGGACTTCGTTTACGGGTACTCGGCCGGCTGCATCGTCGGGGCGCCTTCGACCGAGTTCGGGGTACTGATGGGAAGTGACGTGCAAGACAACCTCCGCTGGTTGTCCGACAAGGTGATCGTCTACTTCACCGCAGCCACTGGAATCGTCTACGACATCGAGAGCCACACCCAACGATACTTCTTCGGGCATGATGACGCCATAACGTGAAGCTGCTTCTACTGGCTGAAGGACACCCCCCGTTCTGATACTGTTGTAATAGGTGCCTGGCGTTATCCCCAAGTCGATCTTTGGTAGCGACAGGTCAGATCGGGTCAAGGCCTCGGATTTTCGTTTGGTCGCCGTGGAGCAGCCTGCAAAGAGATCATGCGAAACACGTTGGACCAGCTCATGACAACATACTCCAGAAAGACATTCCAGCAGAATACTGTATAGAAGAAATCCCACCCAAGAATATCTTCGATAGAAAGGTGAGCACAAAGGATGCAAGAACCTCTCTTGCTCCCTTGAAGTAGATTGATCTTTTTGTTTTTTAAGATTTTCTCGGTCTCCTTCCTGTCAGAGGAGAGGGTGGTGGCGGTGGGAGGGGACGACAGCAACCTTGTTGTCATATGGGACTTACCAACAAGCTCTATCATCTTTCAAGGCTCAGGGGGTCCAACGCCTGTGTATCTGATTCGTTCCATCTTCGGCTGGGTTGACAGCGGAGGTCTGGAAGGTATCTTTTCAGCCTCGCCCCTCCCCCCTTCATTCCTGACCACCTGTTCCTTTGGTCATCAGGCAATCCCTGCACGTCTTGGGGCGAGCTCAAGATGGCTGACTGCACTTTTGTCTCACACGGCCCAAAGCACGTCGGCTTCTGGAGCCACAACGGCACGGAGTACGTGCGTACAAAGGTAGAGCTCGAGGACAACCCTCTGTGCGTTTGTTTCGTCAAGTCCCCCGACGCTCTCAGCACTTTCATGTTCACTGGGCAGCAGAGCGGGTCCATCATCAAGTGGAAGGATCACGTGCAGAGCAGCACCATCAAGAACGCTCACCCCGGCGGCGTGACGCAGATCGCATGGTGTGCAGCAGGGCTGCTATCAGGAGGAGTGGACTGTAAGCTCAAGGTCTGGAAGTACAAGAGTGGAGCCACGTTGCTGAAGGAACCGCACGTGGTGGTAGACCTGAAGGTCTTCGCCTACTCTCAGCACGCCTGGGCCACCAGCCAAGTTATACCGAAGTCCTTTGACCTTCTGGACGACGGGACCCTCCTCCTTGGGACCTCGTCAAGTCAAATTTTTGTCTTTCAGCCTCCATCGACTTGGGAGGCAGAGGGAGATGCTGCGGTAGACGGGGGCAAGTATGGCAAGCTTGTCCTGGACTTTCACTACAGGAGGACGGACAACGATTCCTTGCAGTGCGTCTCCTCCTTCCCCCTCCAGGGGACCTGCCACACGACTGGGAGGCCGAACGTCTTGACAGTTGGACTCCAGATGAAGCACCTGTTCGTCACCTTTGGCCCTGACCACTCCATCAGGGTATGGGACACCAGAGCTCGGAAGCTGATGCAGGCAAAGAGTTTGTTCCACGTCCGCAAGACAGACCAGGTTTCCTTCCCTATCACTCCCACCAGCGTCGACATCGCAGCCAACTGCCACCTGGCGGCTGTCGGCTGCTCCGACGGCTCCTGGGGCGTCTACCTGCTCAATCGTAAGCAGGAGTGGGTTCAGATCTACATAACGAGCAAGGCACAGCTGAATGAACTGAGGTCTGAGTTGAAGTCGTTCGAGGATCAGATGTTTGCCATCCAGAACGGTCAGGTTGACCCATACGTCATGCATCACACCAATTCTTTGGACATCCTGAGAGCTAATTCCATCAGGCTGAGGGAGGAGATCTCCCGGTACGAGGACTTTAGCAAGAACGTCCCCGTCACCACCGTCAAGTTCGCCCCCAACAGCTCGTGGCTGGCAGTGGCTGGCCGTGATGGGTCGGTGAGCATCTTTTCCTGCCATGACCTTAAGATCGCCGGGCCCAACGGGGAGTGGAAGAGGGTTTGCTCCTTCGACCTGGACGGGGAGGTCTTGGACCATTTCCTCCTGAACGCAGACAAGGCAGAGCCCTCCTTCCGCAATACTTTCGGCACTGTAAACAACAAGAAGCTCGTCCCAGGAGAGGTCGAGCTGCCAGGCCTGCAAGGTCGGGTCAAGCTGCTGGGCTCCTGCAAGGGTCACGGCTCGCCGATCACCAAGATGGACTGGTCGGTGGACTGCAAGGTGCTCAAGACCTGCTCGGAAATGCTGGAGCTCCTCTACTGGAACATGCCGCGAGGGACTCTGGGGACCCGGGCCAACGACTACCGAGACCTCGACTGGGCGTCAACCTCCTCTGTCTGTGATTGGTACTTGAAGGGGATATGGCCAACCGGCTGCGAGACTTCCACAGTCAGCGCTGTTGATGTTTCCAAGGGCAGAGGAGACGTTCAAGTGGTGGTAACTGGGGACAAACTCGGGCACGTAAAGTTGTTTCGATCTCCCTGTTGTGCGGATAAGGCGAAGTATCGATCTTACATCGGCCATGCTTCTCACGTGCGAAACGTCATGTTCTCCAGGGACAATGACTATGTGATTTCTCTCGGAGGGCATGACAACAGCATCTTTCAGTGGAGGTATCTTCCCTTCTTCCCTGACTTGCTTCCAACTCCAGAGACACACAAAGTTCTGTTTGACCTTGTTCGCATCCCTTCCACCTACGAGATGCAAAAAAGCCATCGTTTTGGGAAGCGCCTGGCAGCAGCTGTAGTTCAGCTGCAGGTCAAGGAGGGTAACCTGCACACGATATCCTATCTCTTCGAGCACATTCGGGAGTTTTTAAGGCTTCACCCGACCAGCGTCAGCTTCAAGCAGCTCGAGGACCCTTCTTCCTACCTCTTGACCATCGACGATGCAGCCCGTAAGTGGATCTCTAGCACTCCTCATCGCCTCGCCGAGCAGCTGGTGGACAACCTTCGCTTCCCTCCTATTGAGGTCTCAAGGAAATTCTTCTCGTTCGGGTGTGTCGTTCATGCAGACCTGATTGAGCAAGATGATCTTGACTCTGCCATACCGCAAGGGGACGTTGTTGGTTCCTTTGTTCAACCCCCCGGATTCAACAAAAGACTTTACATGCTTCAAGCTTCAGGAACCACGTTTCATGCTTGTAAGAATCTGAGAACTGCGGTTGATAGGATAGATCCAACCAAACAGAAGATGGTGTACATAGCTGGACATGCCGTAGTGCTGCTGGACCTTAACAAGGAGAATGCGAAACAGAAGATCTTCAGCGAACATCCTGACAACGTTGTATGTGTCGCCATACATCCCGACGGAAACACAATCGCGACAACTGATTGCAGGAAAGATCCGAAGATCGTGATATGGGACTCAGAATCTCTGACAGTCCGAAGGGAGCTGAATGTCAGGGGGGCCATTGGGTCCTCGTCGATCCAGGTTGTTGGCTCCTCCAAGATCGTCGGGCCTGTTGAGTTCGAGAGGGTCCAGATAGACAGCGAGAAGTCTTGCAACTTGATCAAGTTCGCCGTGGAGGATTTGATGACGTCAGGCATTGAAATCGATTCTTACATCCAGGTCAAGGACCAGATACTCCGGGTAGTTGATATTGACGGCGAGCATCTTAGCTGTAAGACGGCCTGTCTTGGCACGTCCTCGCAGCTCCATAAGGAAGGCGACGAGGTCCGAGTGTACGCTAGAGGGTTCCGACCAAGGGATACCAACGGGATCTGCTGCCTCACCTTCTCCTCCCACAACTATGGCGATTCGATCGCCTGTGTTTTCTCTGACGACTCCAACACCGTAGCCTTGCTGGATGCGGCGAGAGGGGCGATCATTGCCAAGGAAGAGACGTTCTGCAGTCAGATCCTGTGCATTGCCTGCCACCCCAAGGAGAACATCGTCGTCACATGCGGTGTCGACCACATTCGGTTCTGGAAACCCGTCGGCGCAAAGCTCGCTCCTATGCTCCCATCCTTCGGGGAGTTGGGGAGGAATCAAACGTTTCTGTGCATCGGTTTCTGTTTCGTGCAGTACTTGCTGTATGGAGGAGAAACGTGGGCTGAAGGATGTCCGGGGGGCTTCGTGACTTTGACGGGGACAGTGGATGGTTGTGTGTACATGTGGGAGTCCAATCAGTTGGTGAAGACTATCTTCATGGCACACGACGGGCCTGTCTTGGATCTCGTGGTCCTGGACAACGTGGACTCGAGCATCTTGACGGTTGGCAGTGACCAGAAGGTGAAAGTCTGGAACATCGTGGACTGGTCCTCCCCTCCCCAGGTGATGCTGCCTGAGGAGAGGCAGATCTGCCAAGTTGACATGTCGGATCTGCTTCGAGAGAGCCCAGCACGGCTTGGGCAGGACTCTGCCCTCGTCAGCGTGTGCGTCAACGAGGATTCTGTGCTGGTGGGAACATCCTGCGGCAAGATCGTACAGCTCTTCTTGGAAGACTCCAAGTTGACAGGCCGGTATGTCGTCCGAACGGACAGCTCCACGTTTGTTGCCGGGGAGAGCGCGTTTGTGGTCTGTGACAGCAAGTCCTTAGGGTTTGTTTCTTGCAGCGCCAGTTGTCACGTGAAGAAGTGGAAGATCAACGATCATGGAGATTTCTTTCCTCTACAGTGGATGGAGAGCAGCTGGACCCTTGCTGAAGTAACGGCTCTGGAGTTGTGCAGCAACACGGAGAACTCAGAGCTCCTAGTCATCGGGCACAGGGATGGGAAGGTGGCAATCTGCGACTATCAGGCCTTCCAGCTCATGCATGTGATGGATGAGCCTGCTGCTGGAGGGGTTGTGCTCCTGAGGAGCTCGCCTGACAGGAAGCACCTTGCAGTGACCTTCAGCCTCGGGGTGGTTCACCTCTACAGCCTGACAACTTTCAGTCGGGTCGCAAGGATTTCGGGTGACAAGCAGGAGGTGTTCGGGTTGGAGTGGTCAAGAGACTCAGCCATCCTGTTCACCAACCTGGTCCAAGGGGACAAGAGCGTCAGCGTTGATGGATCCCACGAGCTCGAGCTTCGAGACATCACCTCCCTTCACGAGGTCACGACGGCTGGTTGGTCCAGGTACGCCTCTAGATCTTCCCAACCTGAAGTTGCTGACCTGCTTGCCGTCTCAGCCCGACAGGCTGGGCTTCCAACGGGTTCCGCGCGGCCGACGGGCTCCTGGCAGGAGTCACTTGCGTCCAGCTGTCGCCGAGCCAGACGTTCCTTGCAGTGGGCGATGACTTCGGGAGGGTCACCCTGACGGACTTTCCCTGTCTGACCAGCAGCGAGCTCAGGCTCTCCCCCTTCGCCGCTCACCATGGCCCGGTGAGCAGCCTGAGCTTTTCCCATGACGGTAGCCTGCTCCTCTCCTCCGGTCTGCGGGACGGCTGCCTCCTCGTCTGGCAGGTCATCGACATCCCTTCCGACGACTTCGAGCCCAGCCCTCACCTGCTCCGCGTCCTTCGCAAGTTCGAGTCCCCGTATCAGGTCCCTCCGGTCCCGGTAGAGGAGCAGCAGGACATCTTCGAGCAGGTGCCGGACTATGTCGTGGGCCTCATCAAGCCGGCGGACCGCACTGAGGCAGGGGCGCTGGAAGGCCTACACAGCCTGCCCCACCAAAAGCTCCAGCTGCTGTACGTGTACAACAAGAGAGGGTACGACTCGTTCCAGGACGTCAGGGTGCTCAACAGCGGGGAGCTGGTCTACTTTGCTGCCGGTGAGCCTCTTTCTGACTTGCAGATCCTACTGACAACTTGGGCGGCAGCGATCGCAGTCGTGCATGACATCAGTGCTGATGGTCAGCTGGACAGGCAGCGATTCTTCACGAGGCACCGCCATGAGATCGGCTGCCTGTGCGTTCACCCGGATGGTTGCATGGTGGCCACGGGCGACCTCCACTCTACCTCGAGCGTCTACGTGTGGAATGCAGACACGCTATACTACGACCTATCTGAGAGAGACTACTGCTCATCCACTACCATCCAACTTCGGGTACCTGCTCTTGAGTGCTGGGTGGGCTGCTGCGGGCTAACTCGCCTCCTCTTAGTCGAACACGGGGGGAGTCGTTGCCCTCAGCTTCTGCGGAGACAACAACGGGAACCAACTCGCCGCCATCGGGCTCGACGGCTACTTGTACATCTACGAGTGGAGCATCGGCCTGGAAGTTGCAAAGATCCAAGCGGAGGGAGAGCCGAGGAGGCATATTCTGTCTCTCACCTGCGATTTCAAGGTATCAGGACAGCTCGTTTCCTCTGGCATCAATCACATCAAGTTCTGGTAACTTCTGCTCGCCCTCCTGTTGTTTCTCCTCACCTTCTGATCTGCCAGGACGCTGGTAGGGAGGAAGATCGTCTCTCAACCTGGCAAGATGGGCGACCAGCAGGGCAGGCTCGAGGTCTTCCTCCGGACTGAGTTCGGCCCCTTCGCCATCGCAGTCAGCGGGACGGAGAGCGGCAGCATCTACATGTGGAAAGACGCGCTGCTCCTGCGAGTCATTCCAGCAACACGCAAGGCAGAGATCTACGACATCTGCTTCGTCTCCTCGAGCACTGGCGCTGCTTCCCAGATCCTTGCCTTGACAGGGGGAGCTGACGGCGTCTGCCGCGTGTGGGAGATGAGGAGCCAGGGGGAGGAAATCAGGATGGAGCGGTTGGACGAGGTCGACCTCAAGGGTCTGCAGCAGGACCGGAAGGGGAGCGTCTGCATCACCTCCATCCTCAAGTTCGGCAGCTCCATCTACCTACGGACAGCCGAGAATCTCTTGTACTCAGCGGAGCTACACGAGAGCTCTCCTATCCTCGGTTCTTTGAGGCTCCTGTACCATGGCCACACCATCGGCTCCATCGCCTCTATGTGTGCCAACCCCAGGAAGCTTCTGTTCGCTACCGCGAGCACGTCCAGAGAGGTCAAGGTGTGGGACATGGAGAAGAAGAAGAGCCTGAGTGACTTGTCGCTTGACTGCTCGCCGACGATCATGGACTGGCATGCTACAGATGAGGAACCCCTGGGGATCATCGCCATCGGAAGCTCGGAAGGGAAGGTCATCCTGCTGAAGCTGCTGGAGGACTTCAGGCTGAACAAGCTGCAAGAGCTGAGCAACAAGCCCGAAGCATGCGTCTCTGCCAAGTTCTGCCCTGCTGGAACCGACCTAGTCATCGGGTACGTCTCAGGATCCATCGGATTCTATAGAAGGCCCTCCGGGTCCGAGCAGTTCGAGCTCGCTCAGTCCATGAACGGTCACTCCGGTCGGGTGAGCGCCATGGACTGGACTGTAGAGAACACCCCGAAGTTCCTGAGGAGCAACTGCTTCGACCTGGACGAGCTTCTGTTCTGGCAGGTGGAGGGAGCAAACCCAAGACAGGTGGGGGAAGGGAGCATGGGAGGGTGCGGGTTCCTGTGAAGGCGCTGACTTTGGTCACTCGTGCTCAGGTCAAGCGCATGAAGGACGTTGAGAAGTGCCTGTGGCACTCGGACGATTGCAAAGTGTCGTGGGCGAATCAGGGCTTGATCAAGAAGATAACGAACTCAGACTACCGGCCCAAGTACTCCATCACCAAGGTCGTCGCCTCCCCCTGCAGGAACTTCATCCTGTGCGGGGATCAAGCTGGCAAGTGCTACATGTTCCGATACCCCTGCCTGAGGTCTGGGAGGATACTGCGGTGATGGGAGGGGGGTGACTCGTCGTGCCAGTGAACGGAGTCTCGGCAACCCGATCTATGGGCACATGAACTGCATCACAGGCATCTCCTTCTCGTTCGACTCCAGGTCTTGCTAGCAAACCTGCTCCCTGTTGAGGTCTGACTGTCTTGTTGAGCAGGACCGTGCTGATCTCGAGCGGAGAGGACAACTGCGTCTTCCAGTACCTCATCATAGAGAAGGAGTGGATGAAGAGGAAGGCAGAGATCGACAGGCAGAAGCAGCTCAGGGAGTTTGACGACAAGATGACGTCAGCGTCCGTTGCGATGGCCAACGTCAAGTTCTACCTCAAGCACAACAAGTTGGCCCAGAGTGTGCGGCAGTTCAAGCTCGCCATCCGCCTCTACCGGTGAGGAGAGCCGTGCGACCGCACGGGCCGCTGACGACTGGCAGCGAGTGCGACGTCATGGACGATCAAAGGACTAGCCTCAACTCCCTGGGGGAGGAGCTTCTCACAAACATCATGAGCTCTCTGAAGGAAAGGCTGTCCACCATCGCCTCCACCCTGGACGACTTTGCCATCGACATCAGAGTAGGAGGAGTCCTCCTGCCTTGCCGCCTTCCCGCTGACACTTCTGCGCAGGGAAGGCCAGCGATCGATGACATCGAGAAGGGGGATAAGGTCGCTGCCCTCCTCCAAGAGTGCCAGAGCCTCTTCGACACGTCCTCAGGCCCGCAAGCCTCCTCCCTCCTGGGGGAGTTCAGGGCTCGCAAAGAGCAGTTCACCGACATCCTGCTCAAGGTGATGAGCCGGATGCCTCTGCCGCTGCCCCTCTCAACTCCCTGCAGTTCCAACAAGGCTCGCAACTGCTCAGGGAGGCGCAGCAGACTCGTGCTGTCTTCGAGCACAAGACTTGGGAGCTGCAGGAGTTCCTCCTCGACTCCTCCTACTCCGACTCGCCCCCCTGGAAGTCCATCGCCGATAGGTCAGCTGCTAGCTCCCCGTCACGATCTCACACCTTCCTCAGCCTCGTCCGATCGCTGGATGAGTTGCAGTCGATCCTGGCGGAGGAAGAGGAGAGGGCCAGGCAGTCTAAAGATTGTTTCAAAGGACTCGACGCGTCTAGAGGGTGACAATCTCTGCCCATATTTTGACCTCTCCTCTCCTCTCCTCTCATCTCATCTCATCTCATCTCATCTCTTCCCAGCCCCTCCTCTCCTCCTGTCATTTTCTAATCCTCTTCTCCTCTCCCCCAGCTCTCTTTTCTCTCCTGCAACTACCCAGCCTCTACCCCCTTGCGCTCTCTCGTGCTTTGTGCCTGACTATAGTGCAGCCTGGACGTGCAGCGGCTGCTCAACTTTGAGAGCGTGCTGGCAGAGCACAGGGAGGAGGTACAGAGGCTGCAGCTTGCGTCAGCGTCTGTCGCCTTCCTGCCTGCGGGGCCAAACGAGATTGTCCCGCAAGAGAAAGTGGGAGAGACGCTTTCGGAGCTGGAGAGGCTGCTGGACGAGTTTGACAAGAACCTCTGGGCGAAGCAGGTTGTCAGGTTGCTGGTGGACATCTTAAGAGGGAGACAGAGAAGAGCGCGAGGAAGGTTTGCTGACGACTATGACGACGACTGGTCGGAACCTTCCTTTGAAGATGAAAGAAGGGAGGAGGACGGGGACGGGGACGAAGGGGATGTGAGCATGACGCGGCCAGAAGCGGGGTTGAGGGAAGAGGAACAGCGAGAGCAGGACGTTTCAGTGGATGGAGGCGGCGGAATGCAGAGGGAAGCAGGGCGACGAAATGTAAGGTTGGATAGCAGCAGCGGGAGCGAAGAATTCTCCGAGGAAGTTGAAGATGATGTGGATGATGAAGACGAGGAGTGAGAGGAGGGCATGGGGTGTGAGGGCGGAGCTGCAAGGTCAAGACAACAAGGGCAAGAACAAGGTTACAAGATATGAAAACGTTTAAAAATGTCTCAATGTCAACAACAAAGCTAGTCGTACAAACAGCGCATGAGGTCTTGCTGATCCTCACGCTGCCGATCAAACCTGAACAACTCACGTCTCATCGAAGGACGACTTATCGCTCCCAGTCGACGCTGCCACGAGAGCGAGCCCCGTCATACTTCTCAGCCCGGCTGCCTCCCCATCCGCTTGACCTCTCTCCGCCGAAGTCCCTCCTTCCTCCCCTGTCATCGAACCTGTCTCTCCGTCCTCCACTGCTGCTGAAGTCCCTTCCCCTACCTCTGGGGCTGCGATCTCTGTCTCCAAATCTGCGATCTCTGGATCCAAAATCACGGGATCCTCCATCCCGACGGTAGCTGGACTCTCCACGATATCCTCCGCGCTGTCCGCCGCCTCTCCTCTCGCGGAACTCCCGATCGTCCTCGAGCTCTGGCAGCTCGTTGGGAAGGATGAAAGTGCCTTCGGAGTAGAAGCGCGAGGATTCATAGCCTTTGACAACCGTCGTCAGGTGCTGGGCAGCCATAGGGCTGACGTCGATGACTGCGGATCCATCTTGGCAGCGAACAATCTTGCCGATGCGAGTGTCGAACGGAGAGAGAGTAGACTGAGAGAGAACATTGGAAACAATGCGCATGACGTCTCTGACTTGGAGTCCTCCTTGTGCATCCTGCGCTGCGGGGCTGAGGAGCACAGTTCGCAACTCGTCTTCGCCAGTGAGGAGTGATCGCTTGGAAGGAGGGGCCTTGTATCCAGACATCCAAGCAAGCGCCTTGGCAAGGGAAGCAATGCCATCTTGCGCGTACAGCTCCTGTGCCTTGCCAAGAAAGAATCCTTCAAGTTCAGGGTTGACAGTCTTCAGGTTGTCAGCAGCTCTGATTGCTGACGCTTCCATGATCTCGTCTGGCTGGGGAACACCGCGCTTCTCGAACTTGATGCCAGCATCCTTCTCGATGCGAGTAAGCTGGAACGCTTCTGCCTTGTCGAACAGCACAAGCGATGTGCCTGTCCTGCCAGCTCTACCTGTTCGCCCAGCTCTGTGGATGAACATCTCGAGGTCCTTAGGCACTCCGAAGTGAACGACCAGGTCGATGTGATCGATGTCCAGACCACGAGCAGCCACGTCGGTGGCGATGAGGACGGGGATCCTTCCAGTTCGGAAGCCATTGAGGATCTTCTCTCTAACCTGTATGAGAAGTCAGCAGAGGCAGAAGAGACAACGGCATAAAAAGAGAGTGCTCACGTTCTGGGGGATGTCGCCATGCAGGGCTTCCGTCCCCTTGATGATCAGTCCAAGTTCGGCTACAAGATCGTCGGCGTCACGCTTGGTGTTGACAAAGACGATGGCGTGTTGTGTCTTGTAGATGGTGATGAGATCAGCCAGGAGAGTGCTCCTTTGACGAGCAGCTGAAGCCACTGCCACGTGTGAAACTCCCTCAGCGACCTTGAGCTTGGACTCTCCGACCAGATCCACCTCATGAGGGTTGACCAGGCTTGTGCGGGCAAGTTTCCTCACCCAATCAGGGACAGTTGCCGAGAACAAAAGAGTCTGGGGCCTGTCAGCTCCTTGCGGCATCCCACCCATCAGCGTCTCGACGTCATCGGCAAACCCACGGTTCAACATCTCGTCGGCTTCATCCAAGACCTGCAACAATGTAAATCATAGATCAAAGATGTTCCAGAAAGAGAAACTCACCAAATATCTGATTTCAGAAAGATCCAGAGCTCCATTGTTCATCAGGTCGATCAACCTCCCTGGCGTTCCCACAACGATGTCGACGCCCATCTGAAGTTCTTTCTCTTGCTTGTGGTAGGGCACTCCTCCATAGACGCAGAGGGTTTTCACCTGAACCTGTCCTCTTTCTGTCAAGGCCTCGACTTCACGCTCAACCTGCTGAGCAAGCTCTCTTGTCGGAGACAAGATGATGCAGGCGGGCGCTGAACCTCGGGACCTCCTGGTGCGACCAGTTTCGAGTTTGTCGGCGATCAACCTCTCCAAGATGGGAAGACTGAAACCAAGAGTCTTGCCAGTTCCTGTGCGCGCACGCGCAAGAACGTCTCTTCCCTCGAAGATTTCGTTGAATGTCGAGTATTGGACAGGAAACAGGCTCGTTATTCCCCTCTGAGCCAGACAGTCGAGAGTCTGATCGGAGATGGGAAAGTTGCGAAGATCACCGGGCTCTCTCTCGACGCTTTCATCGGTAACCTCTTCATCATCAATGAAGGACTGGTCCTGTACTTTGAAGCTTGGAGGCAAGAAGTCGTCCTCTTCCAGGAAAGACTCGAACTTGGGGCGGGTATCCACCATTCTCAATTGGGACCTTCCAACCGCGCTTCTCACCTGGCCAGGAGAGCATCGTCTCAACTGACATAGTTCAGTAGCCGGTAGCTGACTTCTTCTCATGATGCCTGCCATGCTGTGCTCGAATGCCATGACGTCTTGCGCCATTAGCACCGCCGCCATTGCTGTGATCACCTTGAGCATCATTGTCGGCCCCCACACCTTCACCCTACCCCCCGGGCTTAATATGTCCATCCCCTTTCTCCCCAATTTCCTAGTACCGGTCCCTTTTGCTTGTCAGGACCCACGAAAAGCTGATATTACCCTACCCCTACCCTCTATCAGAACCACAAACCCTGCAGCTGATACCTCCCCACCCCGGTTCCAACCTATTGTATACCCAATCGAACATGTGGAAGGGACTTCTTTCCTGACCCCATATCCTCTATCTTTTCTCTACTCCTTCAATAAGTGATCAACGGTATCATCCACCCCTCGAGCTCAGCGACACTCTACACATCCACCCCTACCCTACCTCAAAACCTTCACCGTTTCCGTAGCTTGCAACCTCCCTTACGACCCCTACCACCCTACCTTACAATTAGCATACCACCCCCTTCGCAAAGATCTGATAGGCACCACCCCATAAAATCGATTATCAACTGAGACAATTATGACGAGTACCCCATCTAAATCTGAACCCCACCCCCTCGTCCCTCTACCCCCACCCATCAAATCCGAACCTCCTGGCCCACTCGAGACACACAACCGCACGTGCCACCTCATCCCCGCTCACCGTGGCACCGAACTTCGGAATGGCCCGGCGTCGAGCAAGGCGTCGACGGTCGCCGCACCGAGTGAGCCCGGCGGCGGCGGACTCCGCCGGCCGGACGGTGGCAGGCCGGGCCGGCCCGTGGACGGCTCCGGGCCACCCTTGCGGCGGCGGGCCGGGACCGCCGCCCGGCAACCCGACACGGTTCATTTCACTGAGTATACGTACAGCGGCCGGCCACCGTCGTGGAGCAGTGCAGGCCGCTGTGATGGAACAGGCTCTGTCACCGTACTGAAATGTTCATTACAACTATCCTATCCTAGCCTACGGTGCAGCCATTGCAGGTACCGTTCACTTACTGAACTACGAGTCATCAAGCGAAAGTCACCCCAACCGTTGAACTCTGCCACGACTAGAATGATATTGGCGTCGGGTGAGCAGGGCACAGAGTAACATCAATGCTGTTCCACCTGCAACACGGTACCTCAACAATTCAGAGTTTCCTTGATGTTGTTCACCTTCCTGTTCACCTGGATTGGAAGGCTCTTCGTCAGCCTGATCATGTGGTGTAAAAATCTGGTGAAGGACTGAGGTTTGCAAAACTTTTTCGGTTTCTTTGAATGTGTTCATGTTTTTGTCTGCTAACATTCGTTTGACCTGCGTTCTCATCAAAACAACACTTCTTCTGTTTTGCTGACTGATTTTCGAACGATGCAGAAATGAGTAACTCGATTTATCCTGTATGAGGAAGAACATTATGATGATAGATATTGTAAGCAATGCCCTTGATAAAAACCTGTTCCCTCGTCTAACAATTGTGAGCAGCCCTGCACCGGGAATAACAAAGCAACAACGAATTACAGCCAGAAGTACTGTGACAAAAAAGTTTATGCAGATTAGTGCGTACCAATTCGAAAGTAGAATCATAAAGCATGTTTTTGTCCATTCCTTCGCGATGAAGTTCAAAAAGTAGAACAGAATGGTAAATGATAAAAACATTTTTGATCGAAGCGCTCGGTACGAAAGTATCAAAAAAGCTCGTACCACACGGTTATTTACAAATGGACTCCAGATATTAGACGATGCAAATTCCGCCCAACTTTCGATATAACAGTCGATGCGTCCTTTGATCAAGTGATCTACGATTGAAGTGAAAAACGATCCACTTTTTCTCATACCAACTGTACCAGCAAGATCTGTGAAATCCAGGAGATCGCTTATTTGAATGCGAGCTCTCGTCAACTCTTCTCTCTCCACGTCATGCCATACTGCAAATGCTTCAGTTGCATCCAGCCACTTTACAACTACGAGGTCGTTAACCTGTGGAGTAAAATCCTTCAGGCAAGAAAATTTGAAATGCATCTTCTTTCGCCTGCCTAGATCAATGAAACCACATGATTTGTGAACAGATACAATCTTCCCATAAGATGTTGAAAGGTATTGATTCATTACATCATTGTACCTCGACTCTCCGATTACACCCGCAGCTCGTAACGATTGCAACCGTTCGACATCGTGGAGGCGGCGACAATCTTCCGGAGATTTACATAACCAATAAAGCCACCTTTTCGACATGAGATATGAAAAAATGATCAAATTATGCTCTTCATGGTGGAAATTGATCCTTGTCCAAACTTGTACACCAATCAAACAATGATATTACTGAAAGACTTGAAATTCTGAGTTTTAATGCTCCGTGCGGGTTGGAGTCACATCCTTTGCGGCATGGCAAGAAAGATTTCGCTGTCCTGCATTTCAACACGAATCTCTCAGACCACCACCCCCGTATTGAGGGTACCACCCTCCCTTCATGCGCAACAAGACCAGATTTGCTGAGTACCCCCTGTGCCGAAGTTCTCTACCCCACCAATCGACATGGAGTCACTGCCCTTCTCTTTCACAGCCCATCTGTTCACGGTGACCCCACCCCTGCTTGTTTGCAATTCCTAGCTCAGCGAGGATAGCAGCGGGGCACGTGAGGTGGACGACATGGCAAGGTATGTTTGACGAGATGATGGTATAGTCGCTCATTTGACAATACTTTTCCGCAGTAATCCTGCTCCAAAAGAAGGAAACTCCTTTTTCTCACGGTTCTACAACATGTATCAAGGAATGTTTTCTCCTATGGATGAAACAAGCACACAAGACACAAAAGCCCCGTCAGAGCGGGAGCAGGCTGAACAGCTTCTCAAGGAGGGAAAGATCAGCGAGAGCCTGTACAAGCAGATGATATCAGCCATAGAGACCCGCAGCAAGAGCAAGGATGCTATCTCCGAGCGGGAGCAGGCTGAACAGCTTCTCAAGGAGGGAAAGATCAGCGAGAGCCTGTACAAGCAGATGATATCAGCCATAGAGACCCGCAGCAAGAGCAAGGATGCTATCTCCGAGCGGGAGCAGGCTGAACAGCTTCTCAAGGAGGGAAAGATCAGCGAGAGCCTGTACAAGCAGATGATATCAGCCATAGAGACCCGCAGCAAGAGCAAGGATGCTATCTCCGAGCGGGAGCAGGCTGAACAGCTTCTCAAGGAGGGAAAGATCAGCGAGAGCCTGTACAAGCAGATGATATCAGCCATAGAGACCCGCAGCAAGAGCAAGGATGCTATCTCCGAGCGGGAGCAGGCTGAACAGCTTCTCAAGGAGGGAAAGATCAGCGAGAGCCTGTACAAGCAGATGATATCAGCCATAGAGACCCGCAGCAAGAGCAAGGATGCTATCTCCGAGCGGGAAACAAGCACAATGCCTGGAAAGATTGTAGGATTGAAAGGTAACAAAGGTCTTATTGACGTCGGCCGACGACACAAAATGACATTCACCCTTTCCAAGTGCTATGATCATCCAAAAATCAATGACCTCGTGATAGTTCATGTTCTTCGTGAAAATGACGATTATCAAGTCGTAGAGGTGTCGCGGGATGTTGCCAGGGAAGACATTCGACTTGCTGCAGATGAAATTTTTCGTCTGACTGATGGTGCAATCCAAGTCGATTACACAAGCTTGGATATGAGAAGTATGCAGAATTTATTGCATGAAGTCAAAAAAATTACTGTTGAAGAACGGAAGCGCCGTGATACTGCTATTAGGCACAAATTGAAAGCGCTGAAATATGCACATTGTGCACAGGTGGTTTTTTTGATGGACTGTACAGGCTCCATGCAGTCGTACATCAACGCAGCCAAGGTTGGCATCAGAAAAATTCAGAGAACCATTATTGAAGCAATACCGAATGGAAACGTCAACTTCAGTTTTGTTGGTTACCGAGATTATGGCGATCCTGAGGTTATCACCCTGCCATTCACCTCTGATGCCAATCGGTTTGAGGAGCACCTTTCAACTGTTGTAGCCGATGGAGGTGCAGACCAATGCGAAGACGTTTACTCTGGACTCGTCAAAGTTTGTGATCTCACGTGGGACGGACAGATTCCATCCAAGATAATATTTCATATTGCTGATGCACCAACACATGGAACATTCTTTGCCGGAGGATACTCGTTCAGCGATAGCTATCCACATTTCGACTCTGATGGCTCAAAAACTAAGGCAGTTTTGAGGAAAATGGTTGTGGAACTTGGATTGAATTACATTTTTTTGCGAATCAATTACTCGACAGACGAAATGATTAAAACATACAACACCCTGCTGGACACGCTGTCCATCAGTGAAGTCGACAAAATAGAGACCCATGAACTTGAAAGAGCTGAGGATATCATTGAGATCGTCATGAAGAGTACGGTGGACTCGGTATCAAGCGCAGTGAAGGACAGTTTGACCGAATTGGGCATGAAAGACCACCGTGCTGAATACTTTGATCGTTTGCGGAAATCAATTGAAAGTCACTACAAGCGATCCCCGGTCAAGTCGAAGGAGCGACCTGTTGTGTCATCAGTCCTGAAGCTGGAACCCTCAGTACTTGGGCGACTGGAAGGTGTTGCAGAAGAAACAGAAGAATTGAGTGATGACGAAGAAATCTCTACTACTTTCCCTCGTGTTGGAGATCGAGTCGAATCGAATCCAAGTGCACAGTACGTGGAGGTTTTTGCGTGTGTGATGCCAAAGACTATGGACGATTTGAAATCTACGCTTTCGCTGACAACATCCAAAGTTAGAGCATTTGAGATTGAACTCAATCCCAGCAGATTCTTTGCAAAGGGGGGTGTTCGAAGTGTCACCTTTGCTCGTGATGTTTCAGATGGCAGTGAATTGCACTTTGATGAAGAAGCTGACGGAATATTCGCAAGTCCAACAAGACAATTTGTTTTCAAAGTGCATCAGAGATTTATTGATCCTGAAATGGATAAAATCAACACCAAAGACGATCTTCAATCAATTACCATCGCAGCATTTCTTGCCCAAGAATTCTGCAAAAATCCCTCCGTGGGAAAAAAGATCGAGTACCTCAAGTCCATGGCAGTGAAGTTCAAGAATTCTGATGGAATCATCAGACACGCAACCATCGAATCGATTCTAGAAGGTGATTTCATCAAATGGAGCAACAATGCAGATTACATGAAAGCTGAGGAAGATAAGGACTTCTCGGCAACCTTGTCTGCATTCACTCATTGGACTTATGAGATTACAAAGGGATATCTCATGATTGTAGATGTTCAAGGCATCAAGTCCCCATCAGGAGAAGAATTCATTCTCACAGATCCTGCGATTCATTGCAAGAATACAGATAGATTTGGAGGAACAAATCTTGGAGTTGAAGGCATGAATCTCTTCTTCTCGAAACACAAGTGCAACAGCATGTGTAGGGCGCTCAAGCTGCTTCCGCATTCAGCCTGCCCTGGGTTTTCAGAGCATGGTACTCTTCCTGTAGTTTGATTTGAGCCTCTGTTTCCTGAGTTCAATTCTCAAATATACGGTTATGTCGACATGAAGTGAAGGTATCAGTTTTTAAGCCTGGCAAGTTTGGGGGACAGCAGTCCGGCACGCTCTCTTTTCTCTTCTCGCCGTTTGGCCTGCACAGTGACAGTGTCAGGGTCAAGCCTCCTCGACTCACCCAGGCTCCTGATTGTCCTCCGGCGTACTGATTTTTAACTTAACTTTGAGTAAACGTTGCCGTCGGATCATATGTTGCCAGTGAATGTTACTGAGTCTTTGTCCTGATCAGCCTTGTTCCCCTGCTTGTCCGATCGTGCATACTGTCGCTTGCGTGACGGTTGGAGTAGCGGTTTTCGCTGCCTCCTCCGTTTCCTAGTGTTTTGTTGAGGCGGGTTCAAGTTGTAGGCTTTATCCTCCGTCCTCGGGATTCGGGCCGTCGCCTCAAAGTTTTCCCGCCAGGGCCGCCGCTTCACTTTCGATCATGAGGGGGATGATGGGGCCGTTCTAATACGAATGGCCATCGGTCAACCAACCCCACCCTCTGATCCCACCCCCACCCCTGACTTAAAGAACTAAAGACCGTACCCACCGTCGCACAAAGTTTTCTGTCCATACCAGGGGTACTCACATATTTCATTTTTCCTAGTGGATAACTCGAGGAAATTATCCGGATTGCTCTATCAATCCCATTTGGCATCACCCCTACCCCTCCATGAAGTACCTTACCCCTAGTCAATCACCCTTCATTGGGGAGGACGGCAGCAATGCTGCGACGCCGCTTGGCTGCTAACTGAGGTAAGATGAAGAGAGATTCGAAGATGAATGGAGGACATGGGGAATGTAGGAGAGGAGAGAGACAGAGGAGAGATAGGAGCAGCGGAAGCCAGATACGAACGATCCTTGTGGCTCTTTGCGGTGTGTGTTCAGCATGCCAGGTTGCAAGAGTCTTTGTCTGATAGCATTTTGATGCTAGTGAAGTGTGATGAGTTGTTTGTCTGAACAAGTTAATGGTCAAACAGGTTTCTTAGTAATAAACAGGGCTGGGTTTTTCGGTTTTCAACGAGATCTGGGCAGCTCTTACCATGGTGGTCAAAAAGGCAGCTGAAGATGAAGAAGCTTACATCGCGCCCCTCCCCTACTTCCCTGATCTCAAGGTCATCTCTTGTCAAATATCTTGGAGCCTTCACTGAATCCTTTCCCAGCATGCAAAGTTAGCACGGGAGAAGGATAGCAGCCCCCCGGGCATCAATAACTACCATACCACATTTCTGCTCGTCGTCCAGATTCTTCTTTGTATTCTGTATGGACTAACAGTACAGCAAGATAAATTCCCAAAGCAGCAATTGCCCGACCCGGGGGAACTGGAGAACCCGGACCGGATTGATCAGGTGCCTCCCTTCAAGAGGTATCCCCCTGGCTTCGACATATTTCTAGGTACCGCAAGGATGTCAGAATTCAAAGTCCAGGAGCACTACAGCAGTTTCATGCAGATTTCCATCTTTGTGTTTGTTGGGTTGCCCTGGTCTTTCTCTTTCTTGCGACGATATGCGTACAGCGCAGTTGGCTTCGGTCTGGTCTCAGCCTGCGTTGCGACTCAGATTGGAATCGTGTCGATGCAAGTGGTTGACCGCATTCACTGCAGCTACCTCAAGGATATGTTGAGGGCTCCGGACTTTAGCCTCAACAAGATCCCTTTGACGCCTTGCCCTGACTACGCCGGGCCCAACAGCGGTGGGTTGCCTTGTCGCGACTCGTTCGTCTACACGTGCAAGTGGACGAGCCCGACGCAGAGGTGGACGGCGCCTCCTCTAGATGAGATTCAGGATGACTTTGGGGCCAGACAACTGAGACAAGCTTGCTATTGTGATCTTTGGGACAGAATCGTCCAGAACAAAACGTTGGCAATTTTGCAGCCAAGGCTTGCGCACCAAGCTTTGTTGGTCACGGGACATCAAGACTTCAATAAGATCTCTTTTTCACTATCCTTCATGAACGTGATTGATGGAATTTATGCAACTGTGCCAGTCATGATCAGCTTTGGAGTGGTCCTTGGAAAGATGACCCCGATTCAACTTGTACCTTTTGGAATCCTCAATGTGGTAGCTTATGCGTTTAATCTGTGGGTCTGCACTTACGTCATCGGAGCGTGGGATCACACTGGCGGTTGTTGTGTCAATCATATCTTCGGAGCTTGCTTCGGAATCGCTGCATCTGCCATTTCTTACACGAAGGGAAGTGAAACAAGCGAGAATTGTCGGTCACGCTATCACATGGACATTCTGTCGCTCTTTGGCACGATGCTCCTGTGGGTTACTTACCCTTCGTATAACAACTTCTATGCTCCATCCTTCGCTCAGCAGGCAGTTGCTGTAAACACTTTCCTTGCAGTCTTGGCAAGTGCAGTTGCTTCACTCCTCTACTCTGCCTTGTTCCATCCGAAATTCAAGCTCACCATCACAGACACGCAGCGATCAGTCATTGCCGGAGGTGTCGCCATGTCCTCGAATGCCAACCTTGTCAGCGACCCTTGGGTTGCGCTTCTTATCGGAGGGCTGGGAGGCATGGCTTGCTGTTTCGGCGTTCACAGAGCGCGACGTTTCTGGCAACAGAACCTTCAAACCCACGACACGGTGAGCGACTGACGACGTGTAGAAACAAAGAGACTGAACCTATACTTGACCAGGTTGGTGTCACGAGCATGCATCTGTATCCAGGAATCATCGGCTGGCTGGCTGGAATCATTCTCTTCTCTCCTAATTGGCCGGGTTACTTGAATGCCAATGCCATTTACGGGGATCTGCAGAGCTCTAGATACAAGTATCACCTCCAGCTAGATCAGATCCTAAACCATAACAAGGGCAACGGAGACGCCATGAGAGCACAGATCTACATCGGCCCGATGTCTGTCGCCACTGGGCTCGTCACTGGGACTCTTGCTGGACTGATCGCTATCAAGATCAACAGGCTTGAGTTCAAGTCGATGTACCTCGACGACTACTTCTTCTCAGTCCCGGATGACTTCTACACAACCAAAGTCGAGAAGTCGGGCGAGGACAACCTTGACGACGGGACCGTGGAAGTTTAGACGTTGAATAACAGGAATGAGGCAAGTCCTCGCAGTCTGGTGCGAGGCGGAGAAACTTTTGTAGTTTAAAGATGTGAATGGGATGGCAATGATGAAACCGAGAAATCCAGTGCAAGGTGACCCACCACAGCACGCATCTTTTCGTGATCTTCAGCATCTTCACTAACTGCGTGAGGTAAGTTGAAATCTCGACTCCGCCTTGTCCACTATCAACTTTGCAATGGCGAGAGAACTGGTCGCGCCAGGGGACGGCGAGTTTCTCACGTGCAGTTGTGAAGCAGGGCAATTCTCTTCAAACACAAAGTCATCGACGAGGTTCCCAGACATGTCGAGTGCCTGAGCTCGCACCCCAGCTCGACCCCTCCTCACGTCCTCCATCTTGATGCCAGGGAGATACTTGTTGATCTCCTTCATCTGTGCTGAAAGGACGAGGCTGCGAAACATCTCTCCCATCCCGAACGACCAGTGCTTGAGAGCCACTCGCCAGAAGCCGGGAAAGCTCAGGGCCTCCATCAGGTCCTTCACCGCCACGTCTCGCCACCGGTAGCCTTCTCGCGAGAAGGCCAGGACCGCGTTGGGCCCGATGAGCACCTGGGGGCAAGCAGCATTAGAGCAAGAGGCTGAGCAGCACAAGGTACCTGGCTGGCCTGCCCAGTGGCTACAGAGCCCATGGTGGGGGTGAAGTGCACGCCGAGGAAAGGGACAGAGGGATCGGGAACTGGGTAGATGAGGCCATTGACCTGGAGAGGGGAAGATTAGCCATGAAAAGGGGAAAAGGGGAGCATACAAGGTTATGCTTCGACTCCTGGAGCTCAAGATACTCTCCTCGGAACGGAACGATCATCGGATCCAGCTTGCCCCCAGCCATCCTGCACCATCTGGTTGAGACGAGCTATGAGCCCCTCCACCCTCACCTTGCCAGCCTGTCCGAGTATGCTCCAACACCTGCTCATCGCGTCAGAGCCCCTCAAGACGAAAGCTTGCCTGACAAAAGATCGATTTCGCTGTCCGAATGGCCTCGCCGGTCTTGCTGACAAGCTCTAGGCCTTCTTCGGCGTCCTTCTGCAAGGATTTAACTTGCGCAACCTGCGTCAGGTGACTGAGGGAGGAGGTTGAAGGTTCAACGAGGCAACCAACCTCGAAGTTGAGGAGGATCTTGCCGCCATGGGAAGAAACATCCTCTGCATAGTTGCTGAAGACGACCATCGATCAACGTCAAGGTGGAGGGACCATGTTCAGGGCTCACCGGGCGACCAGCCCCCAATCCACAATCCCTGTATGGGGAGACAAGATGGCCCGCACACCGTTGCAGTGAGGTTCGATCTACGGGAGAACGTCAGACATCCCGAGCGAGTCACCACAGCGAGCTCCTTGCCCAACCTTTCGGATCTCTTCGGAGTCGATGAATCGCAGATCCTGAACGCCGTTCTGTCGCCCTTGCCAGCGCTCAGGTACCTTCAGTCGACTCTGCCGCCATGTTCGCTCACCTTTTTCCATCAGACTTTCGAGGCCAGGCAGCTCTTGTTCGTTCAATGCTACTATCAACTTCCCACATTTCCGGTAAGGAATCCCCTTCTCATCGAAATACCTGCCCACCCATCCCTTCAACCTCTTCCCTTGCTGCCCACCTCCCCTCACTTGTAACTCAGGTTCAATCCCTCCACACAGAGCTTCGCCTTGAGGGATCCTGGCTTGTAGTAGATCCCTGCATGCACCACTCCGCTGTTATGCCCTGTCTGAAGTGCGACGAGTCAGCTCCCCTGGAGCTCAAACGGTTGAGCATACCTGGTGGTATCCGACAACCGGCTCCTTCTCAAGAACAGCGACTTTCAGGGAGGGATACCTTAGCAGAACCTCTCTGGCTGTCGCAAGACCCACGATCCCTCCTCCTGCACGACAGGCAACATCACAACAGCCGTCGGAGGAAACTGAACTTCACCTACGATGGTGACGTCGAAGGACCTCTCTGTTCCCTTGCCGGAGGTTGAGAAGGACCTTGAAACGGGAATTTCAGGCCGCCATGTCAGGATAGCAAAAGAAATAACCTCCTCAACAATCTAGAACCAACCAAACGGGCAAGTGATGACATCTGACTTGTAACTTCAGCCCAGAAAACAATTTTCAGTCAGTCTGGCAAAAAACTTTAGATCGACAGTCAGTCAGTCCATGTTCCGACTTGTCTTGATTCTCCTTGTCCTTTGTTTCTCTCATCTCCTTCAATATCCTTTCCTTGCCTCCTCTTTCTTCTTTCCCTTCCCTTCCTCCCTCGCTTCTGCCCGCCCCTCCTTCCTTGATTTCCCACTAGGCATTTTCGACTTTGCCTCACAGCAAGAGTCTGATTGAGGGTTGGTAGGGGGTGGGTGGGCACTAGATCAAGTCACATTGTAGCAAGGCAAAGAGGCCATGAAGGTATATTTCCTATGTATGACCATAAGTAAAATGCATATAATGACAGCCTTTGATGACAAAGAATGGGGATCGGGACCCTGGTAACTACCCCACCTCCTGTCATCCACACGGTGGATCGGCTTACGCAATGGCCCAATGAGACGCAGATGGAGGGCGAATGGTGATGAGGGGAAGGGGAGGGAGGGAGGGAGGGAGGGAGGGAAGGAGGGAGGGAGGGAGGGAGGGAGGGAGATGCGTACATACATACAATGAGGTTGGAGGTAGAATAGATAGCAATGACAAGGGTTGTTGTGTCACGCCCAACGCTCTCATGTCCAGTCCTCACTTTCCTCGCAGGGTCTGTGCATGAAAACAAGTAGCTGGGAATGATCCCTCACTTGCAGATGTCCAGCTTTGTATCTCGACTTAGATTGAGCTTCTCACCTATTCCTGTCATCGCGAACAGGAGCACAATCTCTCTCATCTTGGGGCGCATGTATTCATCTAGAAGCCTGCCAATCAGGCTGGGGTTAGATTGCTGCGGAAGAACAGCACCTGGAAGAAACCGACAAGAAATTATTTTGTACAGATCGATGAGTCGTTCGCGGTTCAACTCCTTCTTTGGTCGCAGGCATATGAGGTTGCTTCCTTCACTTGCTCACAGCTTGTTGATCGTTTTGCAGCGATACACCTCCAAACGTAAATCGCTTTCAAGAAGAGGCGCGGAAGAGGCAACAAGCTAAGAATCGACAGCTTGCTATGTACATGGGAGGCGTCACTCTTTTCACCATCTCCTTCACCTATTTATCCGTTCCACTGTATCGACTGTTCTGTGCCAAAACTGGATTTGCGGGGACTGTGAAGCCAGCTGATATGGTGGACTATGAGAGCAAAGCAAAGCCGATCTCAGGCAAGCGTGTGCTCAAGATCAAGTTCAACGCAGACACATCAGATTCGATGCCATGGAAGTTCATTCCCCAACAGTACGAGATCAAAGTGCTGCCAGGGGAAGCTGCGTTGGCCTTCTACACAGCTGAGAACCGGACGGACAAAGCGATCATTGGGGTTGCAAGCTACAACATTCAACCCGAAGGAGCAGCCTTATACTTCAACAAGATTCAGTGCTTTTGCTTCGAGGAACAGGTAGGAGCAAGCTTGCCTCCCAATTATCTCACCCTCGATGCAGATGTTGAAACCCAACGAGAAGATCGACATGCCTGTGTTCTTCTTCATAGATCCAGACTTTCTCATGGACAAGAATATGAATGCTGTGGATACAATCACCTTGTCCTACACCTTCTTCAAGGCAGGCGATTCAGACGCTCCAGAGGTTGCAGGCATGCTGCAACAACATGCTCCCAGAATGCACAAACAACCAGCCGCATAGAAACCAAGAAAATTTGAATTCCATCTCTTTAATGTGTTGCATTTCCAGGAGCACGGAATAAAGCAGTGATGGATATTTATCGAATAGAAAATCTGATCAACTGACGACCCTGCCTTAATCGATGGAACCGCCATACCGATCCCACCAGCGGTGGACGGACGTGCATTTTAACCCACTCTGGTTTACTTCCTGCGGTAGAAGTAGTCCTACAACACACCAGTGAGCTTCTCTCAAGTTAACCTGCAAGTCCTGCACTCACCCACTGCCTCCTAGCGCGGCGCCAATCATCATAGGAGGCCTGCGCGTTAGCGAGGTAGTACGCATCCTGGGCCTTCATGTAGTAGAAGCGCGCAGTCTTGTTAAAGTCTGCGGCTTGCGCATACAGAGCGGCCTTTCAAAGATGCAAGTCAGCGACAACCATACATGTGAATGTTGATAAAAACGATGTTGAAGAGGAAACTCACAGCGTGCTTGCCGTACAAGGTCGTGAAAACCTAGAAACCAGAGTCAGGTTTGATTCCAATCTATCCCTTCACAGAGCATGATTCATCATTCAATGGATAAGAACATCGTAGATATCGGAGCACATAAACGCATGAAATACAACATTACACTCCGCTTCCCTGCAATGCAAGAAACGGAGATGACTCGTAGATGAATACGAAATGCTACAGGTGAAGCGAATCACGAAACAAAATGTGATACATCAAGAGAAAAACAATTCATCATAATGGGGCAAATGAACAATCCTAAGTCTACAGAAAGGGTGACGTGTCCCAAAAAGCAGCATTAAAATGAATCTCCAGCCATATTGGAACGGAGCTATGAAAAGGGGGGTATGAGATTCTTGACATTCCTATACAGAAAGCAGAGTGTTGCTCAAAACGATGCCAAGCACACAAACAAACACAACAAGCCCAAGGGCGAAGAGGGCATATTACACGAACATGTGATACCCGCACACAACCGGAAGACTTCCTGTCAGGACAAGTATGATTGGCAGTGAACCACACAATCACTTCCATGTAACATTCTCATTTGCTTCCACATATCATATTGTTCTTGACGTGAATGAGCATCGCGCGCGAGCTGCAGGGACATTGAGGAGCGGCACTTCACCATGGCTAGTCGGCTATAAGAGGAAGAGGCGCCTGTCTAAGCTTTAACCCCCTTCGGAATGAGCAAGTACCCCCTTTAGTCCCAGGGGGGTGGTAGCGCTGACTCTTCGCGCCTCCCCGTAGCTTCGGGGAATTAAAACAATTTAACTCATTGTTAAAACATTTTAGTGAAAAAGACTACCAAAAAGTGATCGGTTATTGGTACGGATGGCAGCTAAAATGATATAATTGGCTAATACTTTGATCCATTGGGTAGTAGATTTAGTAATAATGACAACAATATAGGTGATACCAACACCAATTATTGAGTTACAATGTGTATAGACAAGATTGATTTTGGTACAAATCGAGAGTCTCCGGTACCACTACTTGGCGGGCTGATGTTTCTCTCTCGGACTAGACTGACCGCCCCCGAGGTCTCACGCATCTTTATCCTTCTCTGTCACTTCCATCGCTGCAACGGCAGAAGTTTCCTGCTGGGCACTTTCGAGGTCAGGCGAACTCCCATCCTCCATGACAGGTGGGACTGGCAGCTGAAACAAGAAGTTGGGCGCGGCCGCATCCGGGGGCCCTTCGGATTCCTATCGAGAATCATGTGAGTCAAGAAACCTGGCAAGACAAGCAAATAGAGAGGATGTTCACCTTCTTGGACAGGTCGACAAGGAGCGCCCACTCGCTGTCCTCCTCGTCCACGCTAGCGATGTTACCGTAGAGCTTGTCGGCGTTGGCCTCTTCCATCCTCCTCTTGGCCTGAGCCCGCGAGGAGTAAGTTTGGTCTACGACAGGATTCTACAGGCACCTCCAACTCTGCGATGTGCTGGTTGAAATGTGCAGTAGCTTTCGGCTCCTGGCCCTCCCACTCTATCATAGCAAGTTTGGTCTGTGAGAGCAAACGAGTCAAAGCTCCTCGAGCTGCTTGCAGGTCACTCAAGCACGTCACCTCTACAAACAGAGAGGCGAGGTACTTGGTCTTGGACTCTGACTTGAGATCTACCCATTTCTGGCAGCACAACTCACTCGCTGCTGGGCGGAAAGGGTCTCATCACCTTGACGTACTTGCCCACCAAGACGTCATACAGCTGAAGCTTACATCCCCCCACCTTGTCGCCGAAGAATCCCTGAAGAGCTGACTTCAGCCCTGAGCAGAGCAGCACAGGCTTGCACGCACGTCTTTGCTCTGCAGGACAAGCTCCAACTTGTCCAGAAAAGGATCTCGGACCATGAATTCAAAATACTATCATGCTGATCAGGACAGGCTCAAAGAATCTCGACCATCACCTCATTGAACTGCGGTTCGTAAGTCCCGCGGACCACACGAGTTTCAGCACTCTGAAGGGACCACTCGTCAGATGGCTTGCAGACTTGTGGGTCAACAACCTGGTTGTTCAGCTTCAGCTGGATGAATGGGTGCAGCGTCTTCTGCTCGTTCCCGGGGAGCAACGAGCACTTGGCTTTCAGCACTTTGATCTGCGAAGGCGTCAGGTCTCTCAAGCAGCATGCACGAGCGACGGTAGGGAATACCTGGACAATGCCCTTGATGTTCTTAATGGGCTGATGGCGAACAGAACCGATCAATAGTACAAGATGCAATCTGAGCAGAAGCACTCACTTGAGATATGAGGATCGGGCTGGCCAGCCCTCCCAGGAGATCCTTGTCATCGAGTCCTGCAGGCATCCATCAAACCTCCACTCCTCTGACCTGAGGGCAAAGACCTGAGTTCTCTCGTTGAATACCTGTGTTTACCTGCAAGACCCCCGGGGGAACACAAACGTGAGTTGACTGGAAGCGTTGAATTGAAGGATTGTTAGGGGCCATTGTTCCATTACCGCGCAGGTGAGCGTTTCCATTCTAAGGGTAGCGTGCACAATGCCAGTCCTGATCTGTTTCAACTGAAAAGACATCATCACAGGCACTTGAAGGAAGACTTGGTTAAAGTAGCTCACCGACACTTTTCCTGTCCATCGACTGTCTTGCATGGATTGTAACTATTCGAAAACGTGACCATCGACAGGCATTCATGACAACCCTTACCTGTTTTAAGCTGAAAGAATAAGTCCCGATCTCATCATCTCTAACATGATAGCTGTGCCACTGTCAACGGCAAATTGAAAAGAAAAGACGAGTACCCGCGAGAAACATCATCCTGATGGACCGTCAGGACAACTTCCTCGTTAAGCACGTCACTGGCAAACATTGCAAATGTTTCTTCCCATCGCGGATTCATAGAGTTGAGTTTTGGGGTCGTCTTCTCTACTTGATTTCCGAGTTGTATCTTCACGTAAGGGTCTCGCGTACCGATGATTTTGGGCATCAAATTCTCAGCTCCATGAATGGTCACCCATACCAAGGCTTTGTACTGTCTCCTTGGAAGCAGCTCCTTCCATAAGTAGCGATCCTCCTCAATCTCCTTTGCTAGCTGCACAGGAGCTGCCCCCAGCCGCACAGCACGTTTCTTCTCTATCTGCGTACGGAATGCTTTGGAAGATTCCGGAATCCAGTCCGACCTTCCGCCGATGAATTCTTTACTAGGGCTGTATTGAGAGGAGAGGGTCGCAAGAGGCTCTCTGAAGGGTGCATAAGCACTTCTCAACAGCATACGTGCATTCGTGATATCCGCAATGTCCTTCCAGTGCGGCTTCTTGAACTCCTCTCCCAGCAACTCCTTGACTGACACTGTCAAGAGCAGCACCGGCTGGTAGGTGATACCATCCTGTACACAAACCAGCTGCATTTCCATCACCTCTTCATCCCTTCCAGCTACAAAGAATTCAAAGCGCTCATGTAGTGATTCGTGGAACGTGTTGATGATTTTGTGTGTTCTGAACTGCTGCTTGCCCAAAGTAACTCGGATATAAAGGTCCTGTAGACAACCTGTCAGACAAGCATAAAGGAACAAGAGCGAGCATGGCATACCTGAGCACCGCTCTCCTTATAACTTGGATGAAGCATCATCTTTGCCTCTTCAACAAACAACGTCATCACGCCCGAGTACTTATCTCGGTCGGTTGCAACATGTCCCCTCTCCTTGTAGTAGTCGTCTAGCTTGAATTTCTCCAAGGCAACGATCTTCCCCATCGGCAAGACAATCTCTTGCTCTATTCCTTTCATTATCAGGTCATGCAGCATCAAATCTAATCCTGGAATGCGCATGACATCCAACCCGCCGAGGGGAAGTATACTCAAGTCCAAGTTGGGCTTCTCTAACATAGATATCCAAATGACGCGAAGGAACGGCATTTCATCTTTGAGGTGCAACCTTATCAAGAGCTTTGTCTCGACACTGATGTTCTCAACTTTGATCGGGATCATGATGTTACTCGGGCCTTTGATGTTGAGCTCAACGCCAGCGTCCTTGTCAGAAACAAACCTCACGGTCGCGGTCAAGCAGACTTCATCAAGCGACCTCATCGGATTGAGCTGAACGTCGATGATCCAAGGAGAAGACTCGCGGAGAGTGACGCGAGTGATGAGGATGTCTCTGATCGGCCCTGCCGGGAGCACCGAGTCCCTCCGAAGGCCCTCGAGGATTTCGTTGAGGATGCTTGTCCTGATGACATCGGAGAGGATGAGGGGATAGCGGAGCCACACATGGCGGATGACACCGTTGAGCCACTCCACCGTCTCCACCTTGGACTTGAACTCTTTGTGCAGCTTCTGCATGAACTCTGATGCGACGTCGGGGAGGCCCTGCGGCTGATTGAAAGAGTCTTCTTCCACGGTCGCGCTCGCCGGCAGGTCCTTGTAGAGACGAGCAGCGTACATGTACAGGCCGATCATGCCGCCTAGGAAAGCAACCTGAGACACAACGGTGAGGACGATGCTGTGAGCAGAGGAGACGGAGAGAACCGAGAGGGACGTCGGAAGGATCTGAAATCGTCCGACGACATACGCTGCTGGGAGCAGGACAGTGATGGTGAAGGAGGGTCGACTGAAGACCTTGCAATGACAAGCGTCATGGTTCTAACCTCGTCCTGCATGCAGCAATTCTCCTCCTCCCTCCTCCCTCCTCCCTCCTCCCCCTCACCTTCATCGTCGATAGCGCGAACTTCTCCATTGCGATCCACCTCTTCAGCTCCCCTGCTACAGTAAAACACTGGGTAGCTAATCCCTTTTTCTTCTGTCGGACGTGACCGGGAGACAGTCAGTGCCGCAGTGCAGCTACAAGGAATATCAGAACATTTCACGTATCATATTCCAAGTAGCTGACGTGAAGCTCACTTCTTTACTAGTAACCTTCAACTAAAACTTCAGAGAAGCAATCGTTCCATTTCATTTCATTTCATTTCATTTCAAAGTCTTACTTTATTGACTGATTTTCAGTTCATTTCAGTTCATTTCAGTTCATTTCAGTTCATTTCACGTTTCATTAGTTAATCTATCTCACTCAAAGTCGATTGTACAGTCATGTAGCACTAGATGTCACCCGTGTCTATGTCTTCGCGCCGCGACCCAACGCTCTGGCTTCGCCTCCTGCTTCCCTCTTTCCGGCTTCGCCTCTTGGGCTTCGAGGCGTCTTCCCCCAGGTCTCCTTTCAAGCTCGCCGCGACTCTGCAGATCTGATCGAATCCCGGACGGTCTGCCGGAGACTGAAAACACAGAGAAGGATGAGTCAGGATGCTAAGAGACAGGACGCTGATGGGAGGGGAGACAGGAGGAGAGGCACAAACCTGCATCCACATGCTCTCTACGAGCTTTACAAGTTGGTCCACCACAGCTGGAGCGTCGAGATCCGAGTCCGAGAGCTGCGTAGGTTTCACGTCAACGCGGCAGCCTCGCATGCTCTCACTCACCTCTTGTGAGAGTCGCTCAGACAGGCAGCCGACAGACGGCCTCTCGCCGCCCCAGCCGACGATCCCAGGGATCGACTGAGCTGGTTTGTCCTTGTATGGCTCCGAGAGGGAGAGGAGCTCCCAAAGCACGATGGCGAAGGAGTACACATCACAACTGTGAAAGCGTTAAGATGTCACGACGGGCCGACGGCATGGCACAGTCGCACCTCTCGTCTACATCCGCTCCTCTATGGACCTCGGGAGCGATGTAATTCAAGGTCCCCCCTTGGTGAATTGTCTGAAGATACGCTCCTTGCTTGTCCCTTGCCAAACCAAAGTCGCAAACCTGAGGAAGCACAAGAAGAATCAGCGACCACAATGAGTTGAGCGCCGACCACATCTTGACTACGTACCTTGACGATCTCATCGTCCTGACACAACAGAAGATTTTCTGGTTTGACATCTCTGTGTACTACTGGAGGGTTCTGCCGCCGACATGTTTCAATGACAGCATATTCACAGTGACCATATCAGTTACCTGGGAATGTAAGTACAGAAGGCCATTCATGGCTCCGAGAGCTATATCAAGTCGTTTGATCAGGTTGGCATCTTTGCCTTGATTGCGCAAGAAATGCCTCAGATCGTAGTCCATGAGCTGCAAAATTCCATCATTCATGAATCATCAAGATTGATGCAGGTAAAGCAGCAAGAGAAGACTCCAAAATGATACAAAGATCCATATCAGCGACGAAAGGGAATATAGTAGACACCATCGATTGCCCATCAAACATTTTTAGAAATCAAAAGCAACGCACAGCCTAATTCTGACCACCTAGGTAAAGACAAACAAATATACTACGATGACTCACCTCAGTAATTATGCACAGTTTTGGAGCTTTTGTCACTGCACCATAGAACGCCAAGATATTGGGATGCCTCAACCGACAAAGTCTCGAAACCTCGCATCTAAACGCTTGCAGCATCTCTCGCATATATTCGTTCTGAAAATCCTCTGAGCCTGTTATGTCCAAATCCTTGATAGCTACACGGGCATGTTGCCATTTTCCTTCCCACACAGCACCACAGATTCCTCTTCCTATACACTTCATCCGCTTCAACTCGGCAGGATCAACTTCCCAGACCTCCGAAAGCTCGCCAGTGATTGCACGATGGATCTGACCGCCTTCCGGTAAATCATCTTCTTCGTTTGCCGATTCTCTTCTTTGATCATCATCATCTTTCGAATCACCAATGGAATCATGCATAGAAGATAGATGGTTATCGCAATCAATGTCGCATCCTTGATCGGCGTTCGGGGCGTGCTCATCCACGATGCCCAACATAGGAGAACTTCCATCCTGTAAGGAGCCTGACGCAGCTTCGTTGATATCTAGACCTGTCTGACTTGAAACTGAACCTTCGTCTCTCTCGTCATCTTGCTCTAAATTTGAGTATTCACAGGATGGGTCACATGGCTGTGACTTGGCAGACTCAAGCTGCTGCCGCAAACGATTGTTCTCAGCTAGGTATCGATTCAACATAGTCTCGTACACTTCCAAGCGTTTTGACATCGTTTCCATTTCACGATGTTGTTGCAGTGTGAGCGTAGCAGCTAAAGCCTCAGGCTTCCTCGGAGACGGCTGCATTCCTCCTCGCGGGGTCCTGGGAGAAAACAAACGGGGGGAAGGATTCGAAGCTCCCTGAGCGCGGGGAGACAGCAAGCCTCTCGGAGAAGGCTGCAGACGCGGAGATGCCTGAGCTCTCGGAGTGATCTGAGGAGAAGGTCCCGAGACGTATCCCCTTGGCGTACGTGCAAGCGAGCCACCCCCAAGCGTCGATGAGCCCGAAGGACGAGGAGACGGCCGAGCTGATGTGATGCCGAAATTGGAAAGATGACTCGGCCTACCAGGGGATATGCTGCCGGAAGAAGTGTGCCTTCCCGGAGAGGTGATGAATGAGATTGACCGGGAACTCAGAGGACCGTGTGGATCTGGGCTTGGCAGTCTCCCTTCGTTCAGGTCCCGCTGGTCTCTACCCCCGCTGAAGGCTCCATCCTTGGAAACTCCTGACAAGGCCCCCTTGCTCAGACCTGATGCTGCACCAGACCCATCTCGAACCACATTGAGGGACAATCGAGGCACGGGAGGTCCTTCAACAGGAGCATCCACTGCTGAAGCAGCAAGCTTGAACAGAGGCAAATTAGTCCATGCATATTCTGCCCAAGAACCTTTGGAAGCGTCCAGGTTCATTGCTTCAGGATTCCCAATCTTCAGCAGCTCACAACAAGCACCTTCAAAGAACATCGAAATAGCAACATGAAAGCTACTTCCCTGGTTATCACTACTATCTAGCTTCACAGGAGGAAGCTGTTCAATGGAATACTGAAGCTCTTTCTCAGAAGTCCTTAAGGAAGCGGAAAGAATTGTGCCATTAGTTGTATCAGACCGTTTGCCCCTCGCGAATCTAAGTTCTCCTTGATCCAAGTCCACATCCATGAGAATAATATCGCCCTCTCCGTAACGGATCGCTGTGTCGCAGAGAGTTTTTGGCCCTGCTCTCACCCCCCCAGTTGATGTGTAATACCAAACTTTTCCTTCACAGGAGGCTGTTGCCCATCCTCCTGCACTTGAGAGTACCTCATCGCATTGCAAACCGATTCCAACTGACATTCTTCCTGTCCTTCCAGCCACCTTGAGTCCCCAAAGATGCCTGCCTTCCTTCATTCCCTCGCTCAGCGCAACACCCCAACAGCAGTCTTCGGATTGTTTATAGCATATGTTCTGCTCAATTCTGCACCCTGAGACCCTGCAGACAGCATCGGTGTTACATGAGAACAAGAAAGTTTCGTCCAATCGCCCTCACCTTGTCCAGGGTGAAGGAGAGCTGCACTTGGCCATGTGGATCCGGTTCGAGGGTTCTTAAAGATCTTCGCTCCTTCTCCTCCCAGCAGACATGAATCTGAGCAAGGGGAATCAAGACAATTCTTTTAAACAGACCTTTACGAAATGTTCGAGAGAAGGCTTCCAAGAGCCGCAGGCACTACACTGGTCGATAGCAGGACCCGAGGGCTCAAAGGATCAAACAAGGGGGAAGGAAGTGCTGGTCAGGGAGGGAGCCGAGGATAAGCGGCAAAGTGGGACAGATAGGACATGATTGCCATTCAGAGCAGAGAGGAGCCATTCATTTTGGTGCACGCAAGGGCGAGGTCTGCGATTATATCGCCATGTTGCGCGGAGGCGCCGCCGACATTTTGGCTCGAATGAAGATCATTCATTCATGCCTCCCTTAATATTTCAAAGTTTAGAGACCATTTTGGCATCCTTAAAATCCTGAATGCTCATAAACAAGTCCCCCTCAGAGGTCATTGGGCGGGCCGGCGCCCGGACCAAAACTGTACTGTGTAAAGGCACGCAAGATCTGACTACAGGAATCGTCGAGCTCAACCAGACACACTTCATCAATCAGATTGTGGAACGCTTCGATTTGCTAAACAGCCACGGATTAGCGACATCAAGGCAATTATCCATCTGATACAATACGTATACAACACTCGAGAACAGGGCTTGACATTTTCCCCGTCAGACGGGCACATTCAAGGCTTCAATCAACAGTATTATCACAACACCTTGATAGCAGCGAGCGATTCCACCTGGGGAACAGATCCAATTACCCGCCGTTCTCAAGGGGGAATCGTTATCTCCTTGAACGGCGGCCCAGTTAACTTCTCCAGCAAACTACAGAAGGTCGTCAACTTGTCGAGCACGGAGGCCCAGCTGAATCGTTACGGACGTTACGATCTCTTATGCTCGAGCTGGGGTCCGCACAGCGCGATCCAACCATCATTCTCGTCGATAACGCAGCGGTCATCCATCTGCTCAAGGACCGTCAAGCATTTTCTAAGCTCAAGCATATTGCAATACGACATCGCTTTATCCTTCAGATGGTGGATGAAAATGAAATCATTGCTGTGAAGATTTCTACCATGTACAACCCCGCAGACATCTTAACGAAGATCTGCCCGGTCTCCAAAATTCAACAGCTAGCTCAGTTCTTGTTTGGCAACGACATATCTCGGATCGACAGTTGAGCAACGCTTCAAGCGTCATGCAGGACCCGCTGACCGAGCTCCCTGTACCTCGTCAGGGAGGGAGACGGATGCTGCAAAGTCACAGAAGGTCATCTGAGCAACACTGATGACAGTCGGGAAGGGTTCACTGAATGAACAATTTAATCAGGGAAATTTTATATCCACATCATATATCTGAATACTGAACTTCATGACAGGCTGAACCTCTGATGATATCTGATGATTGACATCAGCATCGAGCCTCGCATCATCCCTATGTCAAGTGACATGGACGAGTCACAGGGATCCCCCAAGCAGAGCCAGGAGTCGCACATGATGACGATGGAGGGATCAGTCCTGATCAAAGGTCTGAATGTCAAAATTGACAAGAGCTGTTTTCAATCCAACCTCAAAGCCTGCACGTGGTAAGACGCTGTGACAGTCAGGAGAGGAAGTACCTTAACAAGGCAGTCTTTACGTCGACATGATGAAGCAATCGAATAGTGCTCAGGTCTGCAAATGGTGCGAATGTCTCTTCATAGTCAATACCCTTCACTTGACGATATCCCAACGCTACTACACGAGCCTTGAATTTGTCTAGGGTTCCATTTGAATTTGTTTTTACCTTGAAAACTGGTTTGCAAGGGATAGTTTTTGTTCCGGGAGGAACCTTTGACTCAGTAGTATACACCAATTTTTGTTCAAGGCTTGTCATTTCATCTTAAAGTGCCTTCTTCCTTTATGCTTTTGAGTTCCTTGATCTGCTGCCAGTACGGTAATTGAGGGTTGATGAGGTGAAGTAGGCTGTCACTGAGATGCCCGGGACGGCCGCCCGTTGGGGGTCAGAGTCACCGTGCCAGTACGGCGTGATTTTGGTGGAATTATCTTTCAAGTCAATGTCATCTGGTACCGTGCTACTACACAATGTGATGACTCATCGGGAATCTTTAGTGACTGCGGGATTTTCGTTCGGGCTCACCGTCACTCGGAGGCTCGGTGAATTCACTGACTGGACGGTCGCCTGGCAGTGGCACGCGGGCCGGGCCCGGCGGCCCAGGCCTGGCCGCAGTTCCGCCCAGTGCCCGGGCAGACTCCCGTTATTACTCAACAACACTTGAGTAAAAGATTCTCGTGTGCCTCTCGCATTCATACCACCCCTAGTTCTCGAGTTGTCCTCTGCCCTGCCTTCTCTCGCGACGTTTCTGGGTTATCCTGGTACCCTTGAACTTTTTCACTATAGGGACAACTATAGAATTCATCCCCCTGACATCCGATAGATATTAACCCAACCTCCGGATCCCACACCCACTCAGTACCCACCCCACCCATCAGTCCGAGCAGAGCGCCATGGCGGGGAAAGGAGGGACGAACGTGGACGAGCCGCTGGATCTGCTGAGACTGTCGCTGGACGAGAGGATCTATGTGAAGATGAGAGGAGACAGAGAGCTCAGGGGAAAGTTGCATGTAAGTGCTTGTCTTGTCTCCCTTTCTGCGACCCGCCATGTTTCCTTGTCCATGCTTTTGCAGTGCTCAGCTCCCCAGCTCGTTCTCGGCTCAGATAGGATCTCCAGACACGAGTGTTCATGTCTTGAGATCTGTTGTTCTTATTGTTTCTGGATCATTTCGAGCTCCTTGTTGCATTTCTCCTGATGGATTCGATGGGCAGGCTTATGATCAGCATTTGAACATGGTTTTGGGGGAAGTCGAAGAAGTTGTAACTGTAGTAGAATATGACGAAGATACTTTCGAAGAGCACGTCAAGGTATACAATCTTAGGATAGTTGAAAGTTCGATCGATCCAGCTTACTCGTGCTGTAACAGATGACTAAGAGGAACATCGACATGTTGTATGTAAGAGGAGATGGAGTCATCCTAGTTTCGCCCCCTTTGAGAACCAGTTAGGCGTTGTGACAATCTCTTCCTGATGAATCTTATTGAAACATATGACATTTAACGAGGAGATTTGAGAGAATGGTCATGAGCGCGCATGAAATCACGGATCCACAGCAGATTTCACGGACTTTACATTTACTTGATCAGCAGGGAAGGTTAATCAGACAGCAGAGTCTTGAGCATCGACTCCACATCGTCAAGCTTTGCGCTCAAGTCCGACTTCTTCATCAATTCCACCCAAGTGCTTCTGGCTGGTCCTTCACTCGAGATGATCTTGCCGAGTTTGAGGTCCTCAAGCTCTTTGAGCAGCGCCTTCTCTCGCTCACTCTCCATCGTCTCTATTTCCTTCGCGCTTGCAATCTTCTGCTGGTAGACCACGTGCTCCGCCTGCAATGCCAGCGCAAAGAGTCAGCCGGGAACAAGGCAAGCAAACCCTCTCACCTCCAGGTTCTGTGGGGCATCCGCTCCCTGCTCGTCCTTTGTTGGACTTATCCCCAAGATTTCCTACGAGGACGTTTGAGGTGTGAGAGGACAGGACATTGCGATATACCTGAAGTTGTCGGGATGGAGACGTCTTCTGCGGCTTGAAGCGAGTTCTCCTCTGCCCTCCTCCCTGAGCGCTCGTGGTAGCTGCATCAGGTTCTGCATTCAACGACTTCCCCAAGCTCTGCTTCAACCATTGCCCCCCGGCTTTCTTGGCGTTGTCCAACGTGCTCTGCAGTCGGGTCTCCTGTCTCTCCTTTAACCTACGAGCCAGGAGCTGATGCTGCCTGTGCCTCTCATCGTCTATCGCCAACAACAAGGTTTCTGTCTCCTCCTCGTGCTCTCGCTGTATGTCTTCACGAGTTTGAGGGGTCGTGCTGCCCGACAGCACAATCGATGACATAGTTTCCTCATGGAGCTGACGAATCCTTTGTGCGCCTCTCGTAGCAAGCTCCTTACGCTTCTGTTCGAACATCTCCCTTTCCATCTCCTGCTTGTTCTTGTACTCCATCTCCATCTTCTCTATCTGCGATTGCAGGGCAGACAGTTGATCGCTCGCTGCTTCCTCCAACTTCTTATCATCCGCTGGAATACCAATTGAGTCCGTTGATGCGCTTCCGTACCTTGACTTCTCTAGATCAGCTTTCTCTCTCTCCTGTTTCGTCTTCAGCTCCAAGATCTTGTTCTCATGCGTCTTCTCAAGCAACATCACTTCACTCTCGTTCCCTCCTTGCAGTCCTTTTGCCTTGGCCTTCACGATCTCAGTCGCTTGGGCTGCTTGCACCTGCTGAAGTTCCTCGTTATGGAAGTCTCGTAGCAGTTTCCTTGCCTCTGACTCTTGCCCATCTGAGAAAATTTGTTGGAATTGCTGAATTTTGCTATCGCGGAAATTGTCTTTGAGAGATGTTTCTTGTGCAAGCATAACTTGATTCACTCCCTCCATGTGGTCCAAGCCTTTCTTCGCTTGCATTCTCTTCTTCAATTTCCTCTGCTCGAGCTTCTCCTTCAGGTCATTGTCAATGGAAGCTTTCTTTGCCATCGCCTCCTGCTCAAGATTACGAAGCCTCTCTTCGTGTTGCTTGATAAGGATTTCTCTTTCTGCAGACGACATCTTCTTTGATGCATTTTCCATCTCTTGCATCATTTGCTTCTTTTTACGATCAAATTCTTCCATGCGTGCGGCTTGCTCCAATCGCATCTGCTTCTCAAGCTCTTCTTGCTCTCTCTTCATCTCGTTCTCAATCTTGCTCTTTTCCGCTTCATGCTTCTCCTTCAATTCTTTCCGTACTCGTTCTCGTTCTCCAGAAATTAGAACCATCTCGGCTTCAAAGGCCCTCCTCTCCTCTTCCAATTTCTTGTGCAGCTCGACGTTCTCAAAGTCGTCTGGGTTTTCATTCTCGTCCATGACTTCATCGCCACTGTCATAGTCGCCATTTGCAGAAGTCTGATTTACTTTGCTCTCAGACAAGATCTTCTCAGCTACCTCAATTTGCTCGCACATCTTCAAACTCAGTTCCTCGTCATGCTTTCGCTTCAATTCTGAAGCTTTCTTGGCTTTCTTTTGTGCCAACTTCTCTTGCAGAGCCTTCTCCTGCTTTTGCTTCTCAATCTCCGCTTGGTGTCTCACATGATCAAGCCTAGCATCTGCTTCCTTGAGGAGCCTCTCTCGTTCAGCCGCGTCGGTAGCGACGACTTCAATCTTCTTCATCTCTTCTTGCTTTGCCTCCTCCAATCTCCTGTCCATTTCGATCACAATTCTTGCGTTTTCTCGTTCTTTCTCGATCTCCAAATCATTGTCGACTTGCATCAATTCTGTCTCAATTTGCTTGACGTGACTTTGTTCTAATAATTCTAATTCTACTTTTTGCTTGTTCCTGATCTCCTCCTCGATATGTTGTAGTCTCGCACGCTCTTGCAGCTTCTCGGCTTTCTTTCTCTTTCTTTCTTCGATTTGAAGCCGTAACTCATCAGTCTTCTTTTGCTTTTCGATTTCCATGTAGGACTTCAACTTCTGCAGATTTTCTTCGTGCTCTTTCACAAGCTTTTCTCTCTCGGCCTCTGATAAATCTTGGGATTGCTGAGCTTCTAAGATCTGCTGCCGCGACTCTGCCAGGAGCTTTTCTTCTTCGGAGGAGAATTTATCTAGGAATGCCGCCACCTCTTTCTCTTCCTTTGCTTTGTAGACTGAGTCTAGATTGTCTAACGAAACCTCAGTCACCTTGGCTGTTTCTTCAACTCCCAGTTGCTTCAGCTCCTTTGCTTGCATGGTCTCAATTTGTCGTTTCTTCTTCAGCCGACGAGTCTGCAGCATAGACTCGAGGTTCCCGACTTGTCTTGCGGCATCCAGCTGCATCTGCTGCTTCATCATCTTGATCTCGTCCTCATGATTTTTCAGGAGTCGCTCACGATCTTCGTCTGAGTAGTTGTTGGTCTGCAGCTGCTGCTTGAACTCGTTCTTCGTCATTTCTATCGACGAATTCATCCTCTGCTCGAGCTCGGATCGAAGACTTTTGATCTCCGATTCTGCACTTCGAAGGAGATTCTCATACTCCCTCGCCTTCTCCTCCTCATGCCGAAGCATTGACGCGGAGATCTCATTCAGGTTTGCAACTTCTGCTGCAATCTCTTCAAGGGGCGTCTCGGTCTCCGCAAGGGCTTTTGCCTTGGAATGCTGGGCAGTCAGCGAAGACAGCTTCTTCGCTTTCCGCTCGTTGAGACGTCTGCGGAGATCTTCCTCGGTCTTATTCCTTGCAACCCCTTGCTGTAACTTGACCTTTTGAATGGCGATGTCGTGCTCGTCCAGCATCCGCTGGCGAAGGTCGGGATCGTCCGTCGCTGCGATGTTCGAGAGAAGTTTCATTTCCATCAGATTGCGTTGCGCTTCCTCTTGTTCTGACTGTGCGCGAATGAAATCCTGAACCTCCGACTGCTGCTGTTGCCACAGCGCGCTTTCTATCCTTGTTTCTTCTTCCAGGTGTTGAACCAAGAGATTCGCACTGAACGCAACTTTCTTGGCGAGTTCATCATCATCGGTATTCTGTAATAAGACGCTCGTTTCTTCTTTGTGAATACTCTTCAAGTTTTCTAACATCTTAGCTTTTTTCTCCGCTAGTTTCTTGTTGAACTCCGCAAGCTGCCGCTCTTTGTCGATTTCAAGCTTGCTTTGCAGTGCTTCTCTTTCTTTGTCATGATTGTCCAATAGTTTTCTTCGTTCTTCATTGTCTTCAGTTGTCTCAATTTTCTTGAGGCAAATCTCATCAAGTCCTCTCAGTTCACTTCGATTTTTCATTTCTAGTTCCTGTCGATAAGATTCGATGACAATAGAAGCATATGCTTGGTGTGCAGATTCAAGATTGATTATTTGTTCAGCTTGTCTGGTCTTTGCTTTTTCCAACCTACCTTCCTTCGAATCTTCGCTCGAAACAATGTTCGATTTTGATGCATTCGTCCTAGGTGTCAGAGCCTTTGCCTTTTTCCACAGCGAACGTGCCTCTTTCCGAGGGGCATTGGCACGGAGTAGACTGAGCTTACGATTCTTTTCTTCTTCGCTCTTCATCTCGATATCTGAGATCCGGTTGAATAGCGCTTTCTTGTTGTCAAGGTCCAACTTATCATGCATCCGCTCATGCTCATCGATCATTGAGTCTACCATTGACTCATTGAAGTCAGCACTGTTTGCAAGAGTTTCAACGATCTGCATCTTGGTTTGAGAGAGCTTTTCCAGGAGGGCTTTGACATTGTCTTGCAGTACTCCTTCAACTTGTGCGATCGTGGAGTTGTCCAAAGCCATTTTGATCTTCAATGCAGCATCATCCGCAGGGGTTGCTTCTCCGTTTTCCATCTTTTGTTTCAACTCCTCATGATTTGAGTTTTCTTCGAAGTGTTTTCGCAGCAACCTGTCAAAGTGTTCTGCATACATGTTTGCATAAGTTTTGAGTACTTTGTTTCCTTCACTTCTCAGAATAAACTCTAGTAACTCTTCTTGCAAGCTGAATTGATTCAGAAGCATTTGCTTCTCTGTCTCATCAGCTGCAAGTTGACTTTTGTTCTTAACATTCTGGAAGTGAGCTCGAAGGGTATTGTTGTACGATTCTCGAAGCGCGTCTGCAAACGCCCTTGCACCGGACATGATGTCTCCTCGAATTTTTTCAACTTCTTGTAAGTTCGTGGGCTTATATTTCTGCACATACTCTTGAGAAATAGCATTTAGCCTTTGATCAAACTCCTCCACGAACGATTCAACATTCAAGTAAGCGGTTGAATCTATGGCGTCCTCCGTCCTCACTTTTTCACCTTTCTTTTCTTTCTTCGACTTCTTGATTGACGACTTGGCGGCCTTGGGCTTCTTGAAGACGGCTGGTTGACTCTCGTCCATCTGGTTGTCCGCAGCCTCTCCCTCCCCGGCATTGGACATGTGCGACAAAGCATCCAAGAGCTGAGAGGCATCGAGTGACGCCAGGTTGTAGTGGATTGAACTGCCATGAAAACCGCGGAGATTGGATTCAGGGACAATCTGAAACGTGGAAGGGTCCCTTCTGACCCCAGCGATAGGAACGACATGGCCGGTGACAGAGTCTCTCATTCTCCCTCCGATCGTTGCAGGTCGAACAATGCCGGCAATGGGGTCCATGACTGTACAACCAAGACCTTCGCAGAGTCTTGTGTCTCTGTCCGTCTCGAAGTCAAGAATTATGATCTCGTTCCTTGCACTAGAGTCGTACATCTTTCCTCCCTTCAGCAGTGGGAGGTCCTCATTCAGTACTGGATCCAATCTCATCCCCATCACTCCTCCTTGCTCTTGTAGGAATTTCTGATGAACCACAGCGTCCTGTGACTTTGAAGTGAATTGAAAAAACACTGCATCACTTTTCGCTTTCACGCTGAACAGATCTTGTAGTTGTGCACGTAAGTCGGATCTAACTTTGAACAACTCTGCCTGAAGAGACTGGATCTTCTCCATCGGTGATCCACGTTGCATTTGACAAGATCGCACTACACTTTCACACCTTTGCAACAATTCTGTCTGCATGTCAGCCTCCACTTTCTTGATGGATCGTTCTAGGTAATCAGGTACAAGCAAAGTCCGCTTGAAGTTGAAGGGATCACATATGCTCCTTGATATCTTCTGTGTTTGGCTGGAAAAGACGTCACAGAAAGGTAGGCCTGGCAAAATTGCGCGGTGTTCTTCAGTTCCATGGTCGATATACCTGAGAGAGAAAGTCAGAAATATCTCAAACACGCAAATAAATCTTACTTGCCACCCAACGGAACAACTTTGTAGAGTTCGTGATCGATCTTGATTCCAGTTATGATATGTACCTCCTTGTTTTCAGAAGACTCGAACAAGTCTCCATATCGAATCGGTCTCAAAAGACGAGTCTCAGGATCTTGATATGATCCTCCCACAGCAATCAATTCCTTGGTTATGTGATCGAAAGTTACACCCAGAACAGGGACGCGAAGTCCTGTACAGGGATCGATCATAGTCCTCGAAGAATTCAGAGGCCATCCCTTGTCAATTGTAGGTATAAGGTGGGCATATGTCCCACAAGTGTGCGGAAAATTTTTACCATCTTTGGGCTGTGGATTACAAAAGTAAGGTATGAAACCAGATGTAATACAATGTCTGTGGAGTTGAAGGGAACAAATGAACTGATTCGTGCTCAAATCTAAGAACACGTTACCTTCTACTGGAACGACTGAGCAAGTGCCCGGAAGAATGCAGCAATTGGTCGGAACAAAAAGAACTTGACCGGCTCCAGTTCGCATTTTGGAACCTCTCTTTGGAATCAAAAGCTTTGTTATGTTATCAATCTCAACTACTTCAAGATTTGGAGCGCCATCATGATTATACAAATGATCCTTTGTCATTTGGTTTCCAGCAGAGTCTATCAGGCAAGCTCCAACTTTTGGATCAGAATTGTCAGCAAGCTGAGATTCGAGACTTTGAACTTTTCCGAAGGCTGAGTTTAGAGCTTCGAGACTTTCTGTATTCCATACGCTGATCAGTTGGTCCAGCGATTTGAAGAATAAGTTGTAGTGCTGAGATACTTTGGAGTAATGCTCGATTCTGATGTTTGAAACCTGCTTGTTGCTCTCCAGAAGAGTCGAATGCAAGTGAAGGCCAACCTCTCCCACAGCCTTGCGTCGCCTCACCTCTTTGAAAAGCTCATCTTTCCTCCTATCTGCAAGCATCCTATCATGTTGAGAAAATCCACTGGGATGCTTATCATCTAGCAACTTACGGAGATTCATGGTCTCACTTGACAATTTGTCATAGAATTCTTTAGCATCACGCTTTTGCTCAGTGAGCTTTTCCGTTACAAAATGAGCTTGGTCTTGGAGTTTATCAAAGAGATAGTCTGCACGAAATCCTTCAATGTTTACATAGTCTGTGAATTCATCGACTTCATCGAGAGTTCTATTTTTGCTGTAAGGATCCTGATTTGAAGCCAAGGATTTCAATGCTTTGCTTGAGGCTAACTTTCGATATTTAGGAACTTGGTTGTTTTGGAAACCCCATGCTGCCCTATTTCTGTAATAGACCAAGGCACAGCTTATCGCAGTAATGACCAAGAAGCCCAGCATGACATTCGTGATCAGATCATAGTTGGGAGCTATCACCTGTTGTTGTTGTCCTGCTGGAAATGAACTTAAAATATCTGCAGACAACGGTTGAATCGTGTTGTATTGGAATGGACGAGGACAGTCAAGAACCGGATCAACGACTCCAACAACAGTCTGTTTTGACACGTCGCCAGCATCTCTGAAGACATATATTCCAGGCTGATCGAAGGCATGAAAGAACGTAGTCAGGTTGCTTCCCTTCTTGACTTTGTCCGCAAGAACCACAAAAGCACCGTAATCAAATGTTGGATTTGTGTTGAACAAAGAGTCGGGCACATATTCAGGGTAATGGTTAATTCCATTGAAAGACGTGATTGTCCATATAACACCATTTCCCGTTTTGACGCAGAGCACGGGCGTTTGCACTCCAGTCACTTGAGCATTGTCTATGGGGACTGCACGTAGCATCGTTTTATGACCCCTCAAGTAACTTCTCCGTCTTATGCTCTTGACATGATACTGCGCTGAACCAGGCAGCAGCACGTCACGAGGCACTTCATGATACGTATCAAACGATTCTTCTCGTCGCCTCGCGAGGGTTGCTTGAACTTTTGCTACACAAACGTTATCAGAATTCAGCTGACACTCCGTCAATCCTAGTTGTTCAAAAAAACTCAAGGGAGCATCAAGCAAACCAGTAAAACCATCCTGCGAAGTTCCTACAAAATTCGCGTTTGATCCTTGGCTTGATTGGGTAGAAGGAAGGAGATAAAAGGTCTTGTTTGTCCCTTCTGTGATTGATAGGATACTATTGCCCTGATTGTCAGTGATGATCTCAAAAGACTTAGATTGTGAAACCACATTTGGATCAGCACATTTCAAGTTGTCACTTCCCACCCTACATTTGCAAACGCACACTACCATTGCACCAATGGTGGCGTCAACCTGGAAGGAAATCAGTAACTCATGATATCGATACAAACGAGAAGTACCTGTAGCGTCTCAGCCTTGGGATATTGAAAATCAGGGCATGAACTATTGCATACATCCACACCTCCAGCATCACAGTAGCATGGAGGAGATTCACAACTTGAATCAGGACAAGATTGCACACATGATCCACTTTGGCTCCGGAGTTGATTGGCTGCACATCGTGGCATGATTAAAGGTTCGCAATCCAAAATACCATCCGTCATGGCTTCATCCGGTTGTGCCCCTCCAGCACTGTTGTATACCGTCGTGTTTGGCATACATCTGCACGCACTGTCGAAGGGTTGAAACACACGATTTTTACCCTTGCATTGACATTCGAGGCTATCATTCCGAGAAATAGCACTCCCCCCACATGGAATACACAAAGGCTGACCTGTCTTGTTGTTGAAAGAATTTGAAGGACAGGGTAGGCACTCGTCTAAGTTGCTGCCTCCAGTCTCTTGACGAAATGTGCCACGTGGACATGCATTTGGCTGAGAGGAACCTTGTGGGCAGTAAAACCCCGAAGGACAAATCTCACCTCTATCCCGTGTCAAGCTACGAGGATCCCCTCTGGTAGTATTTCCGTAACAGACGTATCCAGCAAAGCAGGGTTCGCACAGGAGTCTCGATATATGCGCTCCGAAAAATCCAGGTGGGCATGGGATACAGGAATCCTCCACAGCAGAGAAATTGGTAGTTTTCCCTTCAACAACACGGGTCCCAAGTGGACAAAGTGTGGGAAGGAAAGATTTTGCGGGGCAGTAAGTCCCGGGCGGGCATAACTTAGGACTTATTGCGGTACCCTCACAGTAAGTCGCAGGTGGGCATTCCAGAGGTGTTGAGACGTTACCCGGACAATAAAACCCTCCCTCACAAGCTTTCCCTTTGCTTGACCCTGCAGGACAATAGCTTCCTGCTGGACAAGGAATAGGAAAGATTGATCCCTCCGGGCAATACATTCCTGCATCGCATAGCTGACAGTGTTCCAATTGAAAAGCACCTGGATTTGATCTATAGTAGCCTGCAGGACATGGCATTTCCTTGGATACCCCTTCTAAGCAGAAGCTTCCGGCCGGACATAAAATTTGGGTGCTTGAATTCTCCTGCGGACAGTAGTAGCCTCTATAATCCTGTCCATTATCCATCAGCTGGCCGCATACCAAACAAGATTGGATGGATGTTTGTCCCAATTTGGGATTGAAGTAACCTGCTGAGCATGGTTTTGGTGATGAAAACAATCCACAGTACTTGTTTGAGCAGTTGCTTGCGCTCATGTTGGAGCTTGTATTAGAAACAATCACCCCTGGACAGAAAAAGCCTGCCGCACATGGTTTTGATAGAATACTCCCTATATCGCAAAACTCTCCTTCAAGGCAATGTATACAGTCACAAATTGATCGTCCAGGAAATCCCGGGTCCTTGCTAGATAAACGAGTTCCCGCTGGGCAAGGCAACGGAGACTTTGTACCTTCTGGACAATAGTGCCCCTCAGGACAGAATCCGTTAAATTTCCCAGGAATCGTACTCTGTCTGCACTCATTTGAAGCACCTGGATCAGCACAACTGGATCCTGCACTGCACAAGTAGCCAGAATAACACTTTCCTTTGATCTCTCCATTTCTGCACCATAGTCCTGGTGGACATTCTTGACATTGTTCAACGCTCGACAAATTCTCAATTGCTCCATAGAAGCCATCTGGACATAGTTTTGGCGTTGAACCTTGATTGCAGAAGTACCTCACTGGACAAGGAATAGTGGAATTGGAAAATCCATCACCTTCGTGATTTTGTAAACAAAGCTTTCCTGAAGGACATGGCAAGCATTGGCTTTCCATGACGAAGGGTTGATAAACATCACAAACTAAGCCACTACTATCACTTGATTCCGATGAATGACAACATCTTATGGCCCGTGGTGATTTTTGCACACATTTATGACCAGATGGACAAAAGTATTGCATTGGGCTACCATTGTCAAATCCTGCTTCTATCTTAAAACTTCTGACATTTGCACCAATTTGACAAATATCTGCAAATGAGAAGTTCTTGAAAATGTCATCAATTTGAGCAAAGAAAGGTGCATATGGGCAATAGAAATCCGCAGCGCAATCCTGAATTTCCCTTGCAGTAGATGCAAACGTAGCGCAGAATTGGCCCGCAGGACAAGGGATGCATTCAGAGGGTCCTCGACCGTGATCGTGGTCGTTGTATGTTCCAGGTGGACAAGGAATCGGAACTTGAGACCCGGCAGGACAAAAGTATCCTTTTGGGCACATGGATTGATTGCCTTGTGGTGCTGATACAACGGATCCGCTTGGACACAAATATCCAGCCTGACAGATTCCTGTTGGTTCGGATATCCCAAGCGAAGCACAATACATCCCCACCGGACAGGATAGACATTGCCCCACGTCCACGGCACCTAATTCAGGCCCATATGTCCCTCGGGGACAAGGAATCGGAGAGTATGGGTGCGCAAACGGACAATAATGTCCCCGTGAACACTTGGATACATTGATTCCGTCGTTTGACATCAGTCCAGCTGGAACTTGTAGGCAATGATCTTGTTCAGCTGAAGGTTGATACATTCCGAAAGGGCATGCTATCGATCTGTTGGTTCCCGCAAGGCAGAAGCGGCCAGGAGGACAAGGGCCTCCATACTGGGAGGTGTTCATGGGTCTGGGCTGCCAAGAGCCTCCCGCACAATAAAATCCTGCGTCACATTGTCCAAATATCTTTTCAGTTTCTATAAAGCATTGAGAGAAGTTTCTGACACCACCTCCACATGCACAACATTCTCTGCTGGAAGGAATCTCAAGCGAAGAGTTGGGGATTATGCATAGTATAGGATTTGATTCATATCTGGCACAATTGTTTGTTGTATTTTCGGGAATATCATCAATACAGGAGAATATATATTTTGAATGGCAGACAATATTTGATTGATTAAAATTGATGCCTCCAAAGTCATAATAGTTGGTTGAGCTGTTTCCAGACGTGGCATTGTCAATGGTTAGAAATCGTGAAAAATTCGTTCTGACTCCGAGGGCAACGATGCCTGATATGTTTGCATAGGAGCCGGCTTTGACAAGCTGACATTTGACTGAACCTAATGTCGAGGAATACGACCCAGGTTTACAAAGCCTTGGCCAACCAGATCCTTCTGGACATTCAAATCCTTTTGGACAAATATTTGATGGGAGACTTCCACTCGTGCTACCATTCGGACAGAAATAGCCCGCGCTGCATGTACCGTTCACCTGTGACAATCCTGTGGCGTTACAGAAATGTCCAGGAGGACAGAGAATGCACGAATCAATGTCTTTCGAGGCCATTCTTGGATTATAGCAACCTTGTGGGCAGGGTCGAGGAAAAATCGTCCGAGATGGGCAATAGTGACCTGATGGACATAAAACAGCTCCAGCGGTATTCGCATTTGCTATTGGATCGTCAGCTAGTAACTTCTCAACGCCTGGACAATATATTCCGCTAAAACATGATTTGCAAGATGATTGACCAAGATCATCTTGATAAGTTCCTGGAGGACACGGTGTTGGAGTTGGGCACTGGGCTTCACAGAAATGTCCTTTTGGACAAACTCTGTCAGGACTGTCCCCAACAAAACTTCCTGCAGGACAGAAATACCCTACTGGGCAAGGAAACCTCTCACCAAGGCAATCTTGCACGTTTTGACCTGCTGCACATTGCGTGTTTGAAGATGGACAATAGAAACCTGCTGGACATGCTACACAAAGACTAGAATCCTCATTACCCAGTGTGATAGAAGCTGTGCCTTTTGGGCAAGGTATCGGAGAAATGCTTCCCTGTGGACAATATTTACCGACCGGGCAGAGAATTCCACTTAGCATTCCGGGATCAGGGCAATAAAACCCTGCTCTGCACGGCCCTGTGACATTCTCAAACCCAGATCTTTCACAGTAATATCCTGAAGGGCAGATTAAGGGATGCGGAGATGCTCGTGGGCAAAAATATCCAGCTGGACAAATGCCTCCACAACTCCAGTTTTGTTCTAGATGTAGTAAGCGTTGATCGCATGATAGCGCTCGCTCGTCCGCAGACCCTCCGGTACAGTACCATCCTGCTTTACAAGGCCCGCTTGGAGCCGTGAGCCCTGTATCGTTGCAGTACATCCCAGCAGGACAGCTCGTGCACTGCGACACATTTGCAAGCCCCTCCTGCCCTCCGTACGTGCCCCGCGGACACCGTCCGGCCTCAAGGTTCTCCATGCCTTCCGGACAGTAGTGCCCCAAGGGACAGGTCAACTTGGCAATAGATGTTGTCCCTGAGCAAAATGATGCTTCCTGAAATGTGACATACGCATTAGCTTCATTAATTCCTTGACTTACGGCTAACATCGTATCATTTGTATAAAACAGTACCAAGTTGCTGATTTGAAGCGAGAGGTTCGTTTGTTCCATTTCAAGTTGATCTCCTTCACTGTTGAGACGGGCCATGAAAAGACTACTGTAATTTGATGACGAATCACGAAGCTGTTGACCAGTCACAAAGATCTCGTCGAAGTCCTTTATGCACATGCTCGACGCTACACTCTCAAGCATACTTTTCAATGGTGTGGTCCACAACAAGCTGCCGATGGGACTAAATTTGGAAACGAAAGAGATCATGTGGACATTGGTTGAGGAAGTACTGTTGCTAGCATTCGAGTCTTTCAACTGGTAAGAGTTTGTCAAAGTTGCTGTACCAAGAATGTAGAAGAAACCTGAAACATCTGCTAACGAACTCAAAACAGAGCAGCTGTAGTCATTTCCAAACAGAGAATGGGTGTGTGAAAAAGTAATGGATCCATTCAAGTCAAAAGTTATCAATTTGAACTGACAATTGTTTTGCACAAGACTACCAATGAAGCCGTCGCCTTTGAGACTTTTTGTCAGCACGATACTTCCCGATATTCCGTAGACATCTAGTGGCATGGACCACATTAATCGACCATTTTTGGTGAATGCAAACAGCCTAGTATCGTTGAAATTCAAATTTGTTGATGAAACGCAAAAAAGCAATCCATTTTCGAATGTAGCTATTCGAATCTTGTCTGAATTTTGACTGATCGGAATCTCCTGATTCCAAGAGTTTTTCGCTTCATTATCTATGCTCCCAATCACAACGAAGCTAATATTTTTCTTGAAGGCATAATAGATCGTCGAATTGTGATCAGTGGTCAATTTCAATGATTGCAGATCAAATGTTCCCAGGAAAAATTTCCATTTTACGATCCAGTTCAAATCAAATTTATACAGACAGAATTGGTTGGCGGAAAAAGATTCACACAACCCTGGAGCAAAAAGATTACCATCAGATGAAAACGATATTGGCGTTTCATCCAATGAAAGGGTAGCACTAGGAATAGAAATACTCACAGGGTTTTGAAAAATTCGTTTTGTCAACGGAGGACACTCATCAAAAACAAGTGACGAGTAGGCAACATCTGCCTGAAAAGAAATGATGCCAGAAAACCGACAGGCGTATCCAGCAGGGCAAGCAGCGCAACTCGTCTGATTCGTTGCCTGGTTATATGTACCTGGTTGGCAAGGAACTGGTGCAGTGTTTCCTCCTGCACAGTAGGTCCCTGGAGGACACGGCAGTGGCTTTGAGCAACCACTTACACAGAATTGACCCGGCAGACAAGAAAAGAGTGATTGGTTTGAAGACAAAGGGCTCACATTCATCCCTTGAGGACAAAATCTTCCAGCTGGACAGATTCCGGTAGGTACAGTTTCCGCGCGATTCAGACAATACTTGCCGACAGGACATATGCTACACTCAATTTCCAGTACGAGCCCGAGCGAGCTGCTGTATGTGCCGATGGGACACGGAGTAGGCGACGAGCTGTTCGACTCGCAGTAGTATCCTGCTGGACATACCGTCGGCGTGATGGTCCCTGGCTGTACGCATGCTTTCCCGCTCGGGCACCCCTGGCAAGCGGCCAGCCCTGGTGAAGGCCCGTACGTCCCGGGGCTGCAAGGATGTGCAACGCTGGTTCCAGAAGGGCAGTAGGACCCCGACGGACATAGGACAGTGCCGTCTGGTCCGGAGGCTGAGAGCGTACCGGGACAGAAGTATCCAGGCTTACACACCTTGCAGGCGCTCTGGCCTACTTGATCTTGGTAGTAACCTGCATGACACGGCTCTGGGTCTATGGAGTTCTCAGGACACGCATGTCCAACATAGCAAGCTTTTAGATTGTGGGGTTTGGAACTATCTCTCCAAAGCCGCAGCTGGGCAAGTTTGTGGTATGCTAGTGTTCTCTGTAGGACAGAAGTATCCTGCCGAGCAGCTTTGGCAATCATTTACAGTTTGGCTCAGCACAACCCCAGAAAATGTTCCTGGCGGACAACTGGTTGGTTGTACAGTTCCGACCGGACAGTAGAATCCCGGTGGGCAGGGACCGAAGCCTGAAATTGTTCCGTTCGGCCGTGCTTCGAATCCTCCC